CTTCAAACATGTTAAACCCCGCCACGTTCTTTACGTGCCTGTCCCAAGCCTGTAGTTAAGAGGTTGTCGTTGGTTCATGGCTGTCATTTTTGTTTTTTGTAAATTGTTTTGTTATAAATTAGGCCGTCTGTTTTCTCAATTGAATTGTTTCATATTTTTCATGTTGGGGCCTTTTGTATTCGACTATACGGTATGGGTTTTTCTCATTGTTGAAGCCGTACGGTTGCCTATAATTGCTTACATCCAATACATTTGAACTTTGGTGGATATTTGTCTCATTGGCAATCATACCATATCTCCTTATTTTTATATTGAATTCCCTTTTGTCATCACGAACAAAATTTAAAAAGCAAAGGTTGAACGGTTCTCCAGTTAAAGCACGGAAACATTTATGCAACCTACCAGACAGCCTGCACAACAAACACCTGTCCAACCGAACGCCGCTTGTCATCGTAGATATTGAATTCTTTCCACGATAACATTGATAATACATAATAGGAAAAAAATATGTAATATAGAGTGCAGGGGTGTAATTTGTAATACATGTATACAAATTTGACTTCTGATTTTTACACGACCATGCATTATGTGATCTTTTTGTCTATATGAAAAATGTATTTTTTCACGTTAATTCTATAAACGCTAATATTGACGGCGTGGATCCAGTCAGTTTGAAAAGGGGTTCAAACCCCCGAAACACCATGAAACGTTCACATGATTAAAAAAACGAAAAAAAGGTGTGTTCCGATTTACCTCCGATGCGTCATTCAAAGAAGGTTAAGAACCGAAAGTATCAAAGAAAGAAACATATACATACTTGTTTTTTTCAATATCCTTGATATTAGAACTTCTCATGGTAATCTTTATATACAGATTTTATGAAAAACGGTATGGCGTTTCCTTTCATATAGTTAATTTTTCTTTTCTTGATGGTGACATATCGCTAATGATAATATAGAATAAAATTGGACGGTTGAGATAAAAACAAATAGTGCAACTCCGTCATATAAAAATTAGAAGATGCGGTATAATTGCCAATGAGACAAGTTTCCACTAAAGACCAAATGACATAGAAGTTAACAACTATAGGTCACCGTACGGTCTTCAACAATGAGCAAAACCCATGCCGCATAGTCAGCTATAAAAGGCCCCAAAATGACAAATGTAAATCAATTCAAACGAGAAAACTAACAGCCTGCTTTATGTACAAAATAATGAACGGAAAACAAATATGATATACAGCAACAAGACAACCACTGAATTACAGGCTCCTGACTTGGGACAGGCACATACGGAATGTGGCGGGGTTAAACTAGTTTGAAGGCGCCAACCCTCCCCTAACCTGGGACAGTGGTGTAACAGTACAACATAAGAACAAACTATAAAAATCAGTTGAGAAGGGCTTAACTCATCAGATAAATACAAAGCAGACCGGACGTGGCAGTGTACTTTGATATGCATGTTTATGCGTCTATCCGGTTTTAATTTACAGACTAAGCTCTGAAGTTTGTTTCAAATATTTTTTTGTTTCCAGTATGGAACCTCGTCAGTGGTTGTCTTTTGTCTCTTTGTCTATCATTTTTGCTTATGTGCTTTGTCTATATGCCATTTTATTTTTCTTTGTTGACATATTTGTTTGTTTTTACAGTGATTAAGATTATAACAAAATGTTGACTGCTGTACCCCTATTTTTGACATTTTTACCTATTATGTCTGTTTGTTTTGTTCACAAATTGTTGTCAATATAATGGAATTTTTTGCGACTGTCATACAAGTGAGAGGTTTAGCTAGCTATAAAACCAGGTTTATTAATCCACAATTTTCTACATATCTACATAAAGAAATTCCTGTACCAAGTCAGGGATATTACAGTTGTTTTCCGTTCGTTTGATGTGTTTGAGCTTTTGATTTTGCCATTTTATAAGGGACTTTCCGATTTGAATTTTCCTTGGGGTTCGGTATTTTTGTTATTTTACTTTTTGCTACTGTAAGATCTTAACTGTTTTTGAGGTTTGAAGAGTTTGGTGTTGATAGATAGTCTGGTAAATTTACAGGGGAAAACAAGCACCAGATTCTATACAGAACTATATCATATGCTCGCAAGAGCCAGTTTCTCCCAAATGACATCTTTGTTTTAAATTTTAAATGAGAGAGTGGTCATTTCAAATTTGTTTATATGATTAATAAACTAGTCAATAAGGGCCCAATACAAAGAAATGCATTTCCCATATATAGTAAAATGCTTCGCAAATGAATGTTTTTCATTGAATAAAATGGTGCTTAATACATCCCTTGGTGTATATTTTGCTGTCATAAAGCAACGTGTGTATGATTGTCTTAAACAAGAACTTGATGCTCAGTTGCATACTTCTCCAAAATGTTCTAATTATAAATATATGTTAGATAATTTTTGTCTGCAATTTTATTTATGCAAACCAATTCCTAAGGTTTACAAAACATGTATAACAAAAATAAGACTAAGTAGCCACAACTTAGCTATAGAAAATGGAAGATTTTATGGTATAACAAGAAATACTAGAACATGTACTTTTTGTAAAAATGATATAGAGGATGAGTTTCATTTCATCCTCAAATGTCCATTTGTTCAAGGTTTTAGAACAATTTACATTAAGCCATATTATTGGAAAAAACCATCGATGTACAAATTTATTAAACTAATGAGTTCAAACAATGTAAAAGAGCTGTGTAATTTAGGTAAATTTATATTTAGATCTTTTAAGTTTAGAACCGAAATGTTAAAATAATGTTTATGTATTACTACAACACCTTCTGCTATTATGTCACATAGTTTGTGTTTATATATGTATTGTATGTATTATTGATGTCGATGTAATTCAAATGTGTACCTATAGTTTATATAGACTTTGGTAATAAAGATATATATATTCGATTCACTTTCAAACTTGACCATACGTTGCTATGCATAATCCAAAGAGTCATATCATATTGTGAAATACTTCTATCACATATTTTAAATGTAGTCAGTCAACGGTGCTGGCATGGGACTGAAATAGATGGGACTGTGAAAAGCTGTATTAATTTTGTTGTATATTTATTTATCTATTTATACTAAATTTATACCATGTACTTTTCTTTACTAGGATGAAGAAGCTACTAGGAACCTGAAACGCTGATCTGGCAAAAATACGGCGAATTAAATTTTTTTATATACAGCTTTACGAGTACATTAAGGGAAATCAAGTCCAATATAAGAATTTATTGCCACGATCATATCTATTAACGTAATAATACAGAATATCTGAAAACGCTAAAAGCTATTTAAAATCATCATTAAAGTGAAATAACACAAATAGCGAATCGTCTAACAATTTTGAGGAATAAAGTTGTTCAGTAGATCTGGATTTCTGGGCATCCTTGCTACTACAGTTTGATAAAATGAAGAAAAAATATGAAAAACTCTCAAATTGGTCAAAATTCTTCATTCAAGGGCAACAACTCTCGATGAATCCAGTAACGTGGTTTCTTTTTCATATAAATCTTGTATTGCTAATTGTTTTCGAGATAATGACAAAAATCTAGGATTTGTTCAAAATCACAAATGAAGACAGCAACTCCTATAAGATGTTAATTGATAGTTTCAGTCATCCGGAACTTTGTAGATCTTATATTGCGGACCAATTTTGCTGTTTACATTTTCTGTCTTCCCATAATATTTTTCAAGATGAGAGACAAAACCGCTAACATTAGTCAAAAACCTTATGTAAGGGCAATGTCCCCTATGATAATTAAATCTATGGTATCAATCATCTCAAAAATCTTTTTATGTGTTATATTGCTGATCATTTTTACTCGTTAAAGTAGCTATATATCTCTATAAAAGTTTTCAAGGAAAAAAGTTTTAAACATAAAGATTAGTAAAAAATCACAAACTTCAGTTTGATATAAACTGGTAACGTAGTTTCAGAAAAGATCTTAGGAAGGGTTAACGACAAACGAAGGACGACGCACAGTGACAGCAAATGCTCTTAAAGGGCCAGACGATTAAAAACAGGAGATGGTTATATGCCGGGTTTGTACTTACATGATCAATACGACAGGTGCCACATGTGGAGCAGGATCTGCTTATGCTTCCGGAGCACCTGAGATCACCACCGGTTTGTGGCGGGGTTCGTTTTGCTCAGTCTTTAGTTTCCTATGTTGTGTTTTGTAAACTGTTGTTTTTTTATATGCCTTTTTGTTTTATTACAATGGCGTTGTCAGTTTATTTTCGACTTATGAGTTTGAATGTCTCTTTCGTATCTTTCGCCTCTCTTTTTCTGTCAGAGGACAGACATATGAAGGTCGCCAAAAGGTCTTCAACAAAAGACCAGTGTCAAAACGTTACACAAGAAAGGCTCGAATAGCCAGTTCAGAAACTGTGAATAAAATATGTCTTGTGGTATATTTGATTTTTTTTTTTGTGAAGGAAAGATCTCATTATTGCAAATGCATATAAAACTTAAAAGGCTTGGTATGGATACAGATTTGTCATATAACAAATATTCAAAAAAGTATATATCATATCAAAATATGATATGTACTAGCATACGTATTTCAATCTATATATATTCTGTAGATACCTTTGCTCTCAAGTTGTATCTCTGTGTATCGTTCGTGCATATTTTCCTAGTCATTATGGATAAGGTCTGACGACAAGAGTTTGCCAGACTTAGGGAATAATGTCACAGCAATGAATATCTACCTAGCAAGCAATCAAATGTAGGACAATTTGTCGATCCTACGTGTTTTTTTTTTTTTTTTGTGATAACAAGACAGCTCTGCTAAATACTAATAATTTGAGTACATAATAATAGCCATTAAATACCATACATAAACATTTATGACACAGAGAAGGCTTCTATATTTCAGGAATCAAATAACATTATCCTTGTCTGGTCAAGAAAGCTCAATAAATTGTTGTATTGATGTCATAAGTGTATATCAATAAAAAAACACTATAATAATCTATTCATACTCACTTTTCAGCCAATAAAGTCAACTGCATAATTTTCCGGTGGTGCTTCTCGTCAACTCCCAAAGTTGAATCGACAACTTCTTTAGAAAGTCCCTCCTCCAATAAAATTTCTCTAACTTGTGTAGGCATCATAAAATCTAAATCTAAATATTCTGAATGTTTATCTGGTAGTTTTTGCTTCAATCTTCCCGATTTCAATCTAGATTTTGATCTTCGGGTCATATCTTCACTTTCAATAGTCACATACTCTTCTGGATCAGAAAGAACTTCGCTCCTTAACAGGAATTGCTTAGGGAACTCAAAAACTTCCATAATCTTGATTCGTGCCGCCTTTTTGTTGTTATTTTGTTCCTTGAACATCTTATCAATAGTGCTTCTTTTAGTTCCTCTATTGTCTGAACGTTCACTTATTGTCTTTACTGTTTCCATTGTCTTGTTACGTATCCGCCTCACTGGGAAACCGGTCATTGATTGCCCAATGTGCATTCTTTTAAATCTTAAATGAACTGAGAATCCCCTTTTCAATATACATAATAACCATAATACAATCGTTGCCATGTAATTAGACAACTAATTAAACTAGCAATGATGCATTTGGACTTATCAATTATTAAAGAAGTTATTCAGCTTTGTAGAATCTACTACTGGGTTGGTCCTTAGGGATTTCTTATAGATGAAATATGTATGAGCAAAGGTGTAGTTCAAACAATAAAGAACTTAGAAGTGTGAAGACTAAACAAAAAGATAATAATCATGCATGCATGCAAGTTACTTCGATATCATAGATTCATTTCTTTTTTTACCAAATAAAACATTTAATCTTCTCAACTGCACTACAATATAAATTTACGACACGAAACCACTTGATTAACACATGATATTTCACCAGAGGATAAATGATGCAGTTGAAAATTATCTCCCATCTACATTGAACCCTCCAATATGGTAAACCGTTTTACTATTTGTTCTAACTTCAAGATATCTAATAAACTTTATAAGATATCTCATATAGTTTATAGGGTATCTTATATAGGGTTATAAGATATCTTATATAGGTTATAAGATATCTTATATAGTTTATAAGATATTTTATATAGTTTATAAGATATCTCATATAATTTATAAGATATCTTATATAGTTTTGATATCTACGGAAGCCAGATATCTCATAAAGTTTATAAGATATCTTATAAAAACTAGATTATATAAGATATCCTATATATTATATAAGATATCTTATATATTATATGAGATAGCTTATACATTATATGAGATATCTTGAATTTGGACTAAATAGTAAAACGGCTTGCCATACTCCAGTGTTTGACATTTTTTTCGCGAGTATGCTATCGATTAAAAGTTACATAAAAAATAATTTTCATGGAAGGATACTAAAATCCCCGAGATCCATACACCAAGTTATTATTCGTATATTATATATCTTGTATACAGATGCCTTATGATCTGAAGTTTCCGTATGGCTTATGTCTGTTGTCTTTGACCTCATTTGATTATACATGCGTATAAAGAAAATGAGATGCGGTATGATCGTCCATTTAATAATATACAAACAAGAAGATGTGGTATAATTGTCAATGAGACAACTCTCCATCACAGACCAAATGACATAGAAGTTAACAACTATAGGTCACCGTACGGCCTTCATCAATGAGCGAAAACCACACCGCATAGTCAGCTATAAAAGGCCCCGAAATGAGAATTGTAAAACAATTCAAACGAAAAATCTAACGGCCTAATTTATGTAAAAACAAAGAACGAAATACAAATATGATATACAGCAACAAACCACTGAATTACAGGCTCGATCCTGACTTGGGACGGGCACATACAGAATGTGGCGGGGTTAAACATTTTATTGGACGCCCAACCCTCCCCTAACCTGGGACAGTGGTTAAACAGTACAACATATGCACAAACTATAAAAATCACCGTAAGGCCCTCAAACATACATAGCAAAATCAATCCTATAAAATAAGATATAAAACAGGCTCTGGTCTGACAAAAAGTGAAACAATCCAGATGAGAAATGCAACAACCTGATTCTAGATAAAAAGAATGAGTGAAAAATATATACCACGCAGCAATCAACGCCAATCAATGAATTATAGACTTAGGACAGCCACATAAAGAATGTGGCGGGATTTAACAAAATGTGAGCGTTCAAGCCTCCCCTAACCTGACACAATGATGTAGCAGCACAACATAAAACATAATGAAATAGATATAGTTGGAAAGGGTTTAACACATCAGATCGAAACAAATCACAAAAAACAAAATCAGAAAAAGACAACTAAAACAAGTACCGATATAAGAGTAGTTGCTGTTATCTAAAAATAGTTTTAAGCCAATTACAACTAATAAATAAATCATGTTTCAATTGGTTTTCCCAGACTAAAACAACTATCAGTTTACATCCAACGGATTTGGTTTTTAAGACGTTATAAACAGAAGAGCATGACCTTTGCAATCCAAAAGTATAAGTACATTGTATCGACAGGATGTATCTATGAAAGAATTTTAAAAGTGAAAGACTTTAAAGTAATTTAACAGTACATAGATTACCTACACGTCACTACACACACTACGACTAGTGAACAAGTTTGGATATATGAACACCGTGATTTGGTCCATTTTCAGTTACTATATTTGTTTTGTGTTTTTTTAACCCCAGTATTCAACCAACCGCTGTAGCTACCTTAGCTAGCTTCCTGTAGTATTGAGCCCATTTTTCGCTTTTTAAATTATGGAGTTTTTTATTGTTTTTTTTTCAAGTAAGAGGACAACCTGGTCAGCGGTAACTGCACTGCACACGTCTTTTATTGGTGTGTTTTAGTTTTATTACAATTGGCCTAGATAGGCAGAGCTGGTCTATGTGCACATAAACTGGTTTAATGTTGAATTATTCGAAGCACTAATGTTTTTCTACCCCCAGGTATAGATTACCTTAGGCGTATTTATCGCAATTTTTCGGACTTTTCGGTTTTTAAAGCTCTTCAACGTATAGTTTGTTCTTATGTTGTACTGTTACACCACTGTCCCAGGTTAGGGGGATGGTTGGCGCCTTCAAACAAGTTTAACCCCACCGCATTCTGTATGTGCCTGTCTAAAGCCAGGAGCCTGTAATTCAGTGGATTTCGTTTGTTGCTGTGTAACATATTTGTTTTCCGCTTATTGTTTTGTACATAAATTAGGCTGTTAGTTTTCTCGTTTGAATTGTTTTTACATTTGTTATTTTGGGGCCTTTTATAGCTGACTATGCGGCATGGGATTTGCTCATTGTTGTAGGCCATACGGTGACCTATAGTTGTTAATTTCTGTGTCATTTGGTCTCTTGTGGAGAGTTGTCTCATTGGCAATCATACCACATCTTCTTATTTTTATATTAACCAGGAAAACTTTAAACTAACCAATGAACCATGAAAGTGAGGTCAAGGTTAGATGATACATGCCAGACAGACATGTAAATCTTATAATCATTCCATGCACCAAATATAGTTGACCTATTGACTCTTGTATCTTAGAAACCGACATAAACTGTGGACACAGAGATTTGTCTCATCTGTCTGCATTAAATTCAGAAAAAGACAATTTGATGGACAGCAACATTGCTTATTAATTCAAAGTCGCTGGACCATGATCTTGTGGGCAGGGCCTAGAAATGGTTGACAAACTGAGATGTACAGACATTAATGTAACTTTATAGAAAATAGTGGTCTATTGTAAGTAGTTCCTATCATATATGCAACTTAAAATATGACATGAGTAATCCATTACGAATAAACACAGTTATAAATGCACATCTAACTTAAGCAGAAACTTAACATTGAAAATTTGCTAATTAATTCAAAGTCACTGGACCATGTCCTAGGGGACAGGGCCTCAAAATAGTCGTCAAACTGATATAGACTGATAGTAATGCAACTTTATAGAAAATATCATTGACCTATCACAAGTAGTTCCTATCAAACTGACTAAAGCAGAAAACTAAACAATTGTTGGCGCCGTCGTTGCCGAAGCCATCGCTGGAAAAGCAAACCCTGTCTTGCTTTCTGTGATTTTTGTCGCTGGAGAGACAAAAACCAGGAAAGCTTGCATGTTAACTTGACAATCATTCCATACACCAAATATAGATTAGTTGTCCTATAGTATCTGAGAAGAGGACCTAACAACAGAAACTTAACATTGATCAATGGACCATGAAAATTAGGTAAAGGATAGATCATACCTGCCAGACAGACATGTACACCTTACAATCATTCCAACCACCAAGTATGGTTGACCTATTGCTTATAATATTTGACAAACAGACCAACAACACAAAAACCTTAACATTGACCAATGAACCATGAAAATGGGTCAAGGTCAGATGAAAACTACCAGAGTGACATATACACCTTACAATCATTCCATACACCACATAAAGTTGACCTACCGGTAATGCTTACCAGTATAACTGTACATTATCTGAGAAACAGACCTCATCACATAACTGTAAACTTGATCACTGATCCATGGACATATGAAAGACGGAAACTTTGAAACATAGGCATCTGTAAACAAGGTATGAAGCATCCAGGTCTTCTATCCTTTGAAATTAAAAGCTTTATACAAATAGTTTTGGCCCAGGATAGTAATCCCTATGTCTTGCATTCTTCGACTTTTGTAAAGACAAAAATTACTTGTTAGTATCATCTTGAATAGTATGTGTAATTTTTGTATTCTAATGGATTTAAATAAGGAAGAGGAAATTGTAGATAAATATAATTTATTTGTATTTCTCTCTCTAAAATACATTGATAAATCTTGTTTGTGTAACTCCAATATGATGAGATGTGATAAGAGTCTTTTTTTCTGGACCCTAAAAATACCAACATGAAAGATATGGCAATTTCAGTACACAAATTCCATTATGGCATAAAAGTGATATCATAAATAATTCATAATTGGCATAGTGTTCGGTAGTAATTAATATGTGACCCCCAAGAAAGGATATGATTTATAATGCTTTTTTATCTTTATAAAAGACATCTTAAAGTTATCAAGTTCAAGGGCCAAATGGTAATATGTAAGAAAATATTGCATGTATTTTAAACTTCTGAAAAATCCATGTTAAGGATGATAACTGATATATTTATTACATAGTGAAATTTGGATTCCAAGGACCAGAAAATGGTCTTATCACAACTCTCCTTTCATGATAACCTCTAACATACACTTTTCCTTAATGGTCATTCATAATAAAAGTCAAATAAATACTGATCATGATTAATGCATATGTAAATAGGTCAAAATTTAAATAATCATGCAAATATTAAATGTTTAACGGTACATTAAAATAAGATGTATTCTAGGTGGATTAACACTAAGACACTCAAATATTTAAAATAAATAATAACTCTTTTGAAAGAGTAATATATAAGATGAAATTTGTACATTTTAAGAACTGTTTTATGAATGTTTCATTGTTAAGTGTATTTTATGTGTTTTGTGATCACAGAGCTCTCCATTTCACCTTTTCAAAGACACTTAAAACTGAATTCTACTTTTTAAAAGAAATAAAATAATAGATTCAGAATACATTGAAGCACATAAAATAATACAAAAGTACCGAGGTATATCAGAAATAATGACAACTGACCATTTCAACCTTATATAAGCTGTTAACCGTTTTAAGTACCTTAGCTTTGTCATTTAACAAATATGAAAATGTATTGAATTTTGTTATTGTTATGAAAAAAAAATCGTTTATGGTTCATGATAGTAAATAAAAAATGGCTATGAACAGAAAAATGTAAAAAAAAATATGAAAAATATTTACATGAATATGTTTTACTGCATTTTAATTAAGTTTTGATTTTCCTACAATATATTCATACATTATTTCCAACTAAATTTGTATCAAAATGCCATTACAAAAATATTTAGTGATTTTTAAACACTTATTTTCGAATAGAAATTTAGGTAATAACTCTTCATGCTTTTTCTTTTGATTCAACATATTTATATGATTAGATTTTGTTTTATTTATGGAACTATGTATATAAAGATGTGATATGATTGCCAAGGAAACAACTATCCATCAGAGACCAAATGACATATATTTCATTGGTAAATAAATTTTAAATAAATAATATTATTCTTGAAATAGTAAAGACAGAAAGTAACAAAAAAGACTTAAGAGCGATCCAAACCCCAAACCACTTCTATCTAAATCAACCAATGGTGTGCATTTATATTCAGACTATGTTCCTTTTTTACATATCTACTTGCTCACACAAAAAGGACATTAAGTGTTTATTTGTATTTTTATCAACTTGAGTAGTAAGAGGCTTCAAAAAACAAAACATTTAGTTCCTGGTTTCTTTTAACTTGCACTATAGATTAAAGTTTGCAGTTCAGGTTTGTTTTTTAAGAATTGAGGTAATTTCACAGCTTAAAAACACCGTTTTAACATTTGAAAACATTTACACATGACAGAACCAATACAGTGGACAACCACAAAATGAAATTTTATGATCTCAATGACAATGTTATGATATTACAAAAGTAATCATATGACATTATTTCCATTTTAGTCATTTCATTTTAAAGGGAAAAACTCTTGTGAGACCATTAATGTAGCATATCCACTTATAATTCTGCTAATTTTCATCATCATTACTTTTCTACCAAATTTCAGCAAAAATTCATTGAAGCAAATGACAAAATGATATGGTATTTAGTATCAGGTAAAGACTTGATATTAATAATATAAATTTAGTACAAGGTAAAGACTTGATATTAATAATATAAATTTAGTACCAGGTAAAGACTTGATATTAATAATATAAAGAGAATGATAAGTTCATTTCTATCTTCACATCGCTCCAACATGAAATCCAAATGAATGTGTATTAGCTAATAATAGTAACTGCAGTTTAACAAAATAAAATACTGATATGTGTGGGACGGAAAGAAAAAATATACAACATATTATCATTATAAATACCACTGTGAAGATAAACATATACTGCATAAAATAAAACATCAATCACAGACATAAATAAAATGGATGGAATCAGATAAAAAATGAAACATAATAAAATATTATACAAAAAAAAACATAATCTGTTTATCTGGAATGGAACATATTCTTAATAAAAAAAAATCAAGAAAAAATGTAAAACTTTGTAGCATATACCAAAATTAGTATTAACTGGATGGAATTAAAAATAACAAAATTATTTGTGTAAAAATTGAGACATTAAAGACAAATAAAAAATCAAAATACAGATCACAGTCTGATTAAATGAAAAATGAAAATGATATTCTGATTAATTCTGTTATTTTAATGAATGTTAATATTTAAAAAAAAAGAAATTGCAACATTTTGCTGAATAATGTTTTTATTTTAATTTGCTCAAAGTATTGCAACTTCTAAATTAAGAAATATCATTAAATTTTCATTCAATAGTTTTAACAAGCATCCTTGTTAAAGACAAATCTGTATAAACATAAAAACTATATATAAATAAGTTATAATAAATTAAAAATATCACAGACAATGTATATAGTTGATTGGTCAAACATTTAAAAACATCTATAAATGCAACTTCTTCCATCATAATACAATACTAATGAAGCTATATATCATATCATATGCTCTAAGGTGCTAAAGGATATAGTTTTCTTTTTGTATATAAAGCACCAGCACTTTTTAAATTATATTGTCATGGGCAATCATTTAATGTATGAAAGGCATCAACTAAAGTTTCTCATCTCTCACAGCTGAGCTAAGTCATCTTGGTTAATTATTTCTTAACTACAAATATCTCAAATTAGTTCTATTGTTTGTTTTGAACCTTATAAGGAATATCACAGCTTAAAAAATTTCTAATAATTACAAGAGATTTCCCTGTGCTACCAAATAGATGAGCGAAATTCTTTTTTCCGTCCTGCACGTCGTAGCTCTCCATCCACTGTGTCCATCATTTTTCTAGTCAAACCATCGATTTCTTCTGTCAAATTCAGTGACCTGTTCAGTTCATCCTCATAGTCTGATCTAGCCTTTAAAAAAAACAGAAGAAATTAATTTTATTCAAATAGCAGTAAGCATATGACGATGATGCTAAAATATGAAAAAAAGCATTTTGTTTTAACAAGAAAATCTTTCTTTTTCTTTGAAAATTAAATATACCATAGTTACAAAAAAAGAGTGGAAATAAAACTAAATTTTCTGAAAGATGTTATTAATGTTCTACTATTATCAAATAATTCACTGTTACTTACATTACTGATAGCATAAATATCATTTGACACGAAGAAAAAATACATTTTAGAAATATTTAAAAGAATAAATGAAATTCAAAATATTCACTATCTACAATGAACACAATTATCTAGCAATACAAATGAAACATAAAGAGTAAAATAGTATGGTCAAAACACACATTAAAATACACTACACAAAAATACATTTTTTAAATCTTCACATGTGTCAAATTATCAAGTGTCTTAAAGCATATGTAAAAAGTTGTATTTCCAGCCTGCATCTTATCTTGTGATACAACATAACTTTACAGTTGAAAACATATGAAACTACCATTTGAAAAGTAATAGTGTGCAAGTTATGGAACAAGTTTCCAAACAAATTAATACCAATATTTCTGATGTAGTTGTAAAAAAAAATATACCATGCTCTGACATTAAGGCACTCATTATAATTTTTTTTAATTTTATCAAAAATTTCACTACCACAAAAGTGTTTCATTAGTGTAAAAAAATCTCTTACATGCATCTGTTAGCTTTTTACAAAACAGCATTATTAATTTCATTGATTTAAACTATCACACGATTCATCATGACCAATTCTCCATATTTATTTATGTTTAAGATAATTGAAAATCCACACTGTGTTGATAGGATGACTTTTTCTGTGATCAAAACTTTCTTTCCTCTTATCTCAATTTGAATGAGCTGTCAAATTGACAGCAAACAGGGTTTTTCTGTATTTTGAAAGGCAATTTCAGGCTTTTTTGACCTGCCACATTCTATTCCTATTTTCCAATCTATCAAAGACCATAACTCCTGAATGGCAAAAATGAAATCATCAATATCGAAGTTGACTACCATTTATTCGTCAGTAACAGCATATTCAAATTTTAAAAGCATGGGTAGAACAGTTCATCAGTATTTTCATGGAAATGACACAAAGAGCCAATTGCCAGTCTATCAAGAACCATAAATGAAAATCATCAATATCCAACTTGACCTCCATTTTTACTTCAGTAACAACATATCAAATTTTTAAAAGCATTGGTTGAATGAATCATAAGTAATTGCACGAAAACTGTTGGCAGCCTCCAGCCCACCAACCATACTTCACCAAATTAAAAACCAGATTTTTCCTTTGCAAAACCCTGTTAAAAATTTAATCAAACAGGTACATATACAATTTTTTTTTTTAAAGACACAAAACTCAATTAACAGATTATTATATCATACAGCAGCTGCATAAAAACATCAACTTTGAGTATTTCAAATCTTATAATTTAAAAGACTTCATGTTAAATGATTATTTAGACATCAGCCCATGATGAATTACAATTTATGATTGTTATATATTAACAGCTGTGAATTGATGACTTCACATGCCTGTGTGTTATATCAGAATGGCATCCAGTTCACTATACATTACCCTAACATGCAAGCCAGAAACTGAGTGTGCCTATCAATAAAAGTACTTAACATTATTGTGGAAATGGAAGAATCTTATAATAGTGTTTAAGTGTCCAAACTATCACATTTCCATGTTCAGTGAACCATGGAATTTAGGTCAAAACCATAATTTGGCACATATCTCATAAAGTTCACATCATAATGATAATGTGTGGTTAAGTTTTAATGTGACCACAACTTCATGGTAAACTAATTTAACAAAAAAATTAGCCAGATAAGTTACACAGGAATGATCTCAGACAAAAAAAAAAAAATTGTGTCATAAAAACTATCTCTTGATAATGAAGAAAGGTTCTGTCAATTTTTTTTCTCTTGAAAATTCTGTGAAGGTTTGACAAAGTTATTGATGTCTGAAATCCCAAACTGAACCTAAATGGTGATGCCACCACAGCCAACTATGGAAAGAAGGATCACTTTGTCTTGCTTTTGGGCCATAAATGTCACAGACTAGACAAACATATTGAACAAAAACATTTTACAATATTTTGCTTCAGATGCCATCTCTAAAATTCCGAGAATGTTTGACAAAGTTATTGATGTCTATAAAAAAATTTAACCACAGACTGAAGCTAACTGTTGACACCACAACAATGGAATCTAGGTTTGATATGTCCCATCTTTGCCACTTTTATTGCTGGCGAGACATAAAGTGAAACCTACTAGCTCTAAAAGTTGGAGTAAAGCACTAGATGTAATATGGTCAGTGGCTTAAAACTGCTGGGATGAATATACAACTCCATAAATTGAGTATATGAGTAAGTAACATTACTGCTTACATCTATTTTTAATGAAACTAAATTAAACATTTAAAAGTATTTGCTAGTTTAATTCTAATAATTTTCAAACAATATAAACCTACCTTAAAAAAAAACTCAATGAAATTCATGCCGTGTAGACTGTAGAGTATACAACTAAACAATTCACATGCCATGGCCATTCATTCATTACTTAATATATTCTATACTTTTTACTAAACTTCAAAATTCACTCTTTTTATCTACAGGCAAAAACAGTGAAAAAGACAATAGCTATCTACAAATTATCATCTATATAGCCAACAGATGCACATGCACAACATACCCCTTCAGAGTCTGAAGCAAAGTTAGTATTGACATCTGTCACTATAGTAACAGGAGTGCTGACTCGTGGTGTGAAATGGACATCTAGTTGACCAGTACTTTGATTAGCAGATGGGAGTGCAGCAGTATTGTGACTACTAGTGCTTTGATTTGCAGACGACAGATGAGAAATACTACTAAGACTGCCTGTGCCAGAGATATTAGGTGACATAATCACAGTGTTGCCATGACTACCACTGTTGGAAGCATTACTTTGACCTTGACCCCCAGCACGAAACCTTAGCTTTACCTTTCTGTATTTTCTTCCTCTCCCTTTTCTTCCTCTGTTTCTCCCCCTGCAGAAAACAAAGAGTATATACATTTTGTTGTATAAGTTGAATTAATTTCACGCTTGACAAGTAAAATTACTTTTACATTGCCAGTTACATTTTGTCATTAGAATAATCAGGTTGATAAGCATTTTATGAATGACTTAAGATAAATCACTTAAATAAAATACCATTATGAACTTTTATAAACTTAAACACCTAAAACATCTTTAAGTGTTTAAAAGGCTCTAAATAAAATTCAAGTTGATCTGAGAAGTAGCAAGAAAAATAGTTAATACATGTTTGTGTTTGTTTGTAACTTTTCTTTTTGTTTATCGATGAACCTTGATCGGACAATTAAGACCACATTACAAACTTAATACATACCTCAAACTAAAGTCCTCCTGAGAAATAGGAATAATAAGACATTTTTAATTTTACCTTTTCATTTTTTTTTTCACTTCTATTTAGGGGAAGGGGTGGGGGTTAGTGGATTATTATGTTTTTTTATATCTTTCTTTTCTAAATTGCACATTTTACAAGAATAATCTTCATTTTTTTCAATCAGAATAATACCTTCTGACATGGATTTCATCTTCAGATTCAGCACTTGAACTTTCTGTGTAGTATTCTTTAACAATATATTTTGCTCTGTTTCTGCCATCTGGAGAATAATGTCGGACCCTTGATGAGGCTGATTTAGATCTTCTTCTTGGTCGTGGTGGTTTACCTCTGAAACAACACAGTAACAAATATTAATTTTTGTTTATAATTGCTGCTTGTCATTCAGTGGCAAATATTACAATCAAATTCAGGACAATAATATCTTAATGAGAAATGAATATACTCTGTTTTGGACAGGGCCAACACCAATAAACAAAATTCTAGATGGACATTGTCAAAGTCTTCTTGTATAAAGTGGTCCATTATATTTGATTCTAACATCAAACTTTTAATTATCTAGTAATTTAATTGTAGGCTAAACACTTTACAATTCACAAAAAATCAAAATCAACATGCCTTAAGCTGTTAACTTCATTTTTTTCAAAATTCATAAATTTAGTCAGAGCAGAAATTTATTTATTGTACAGAATAAAAAACAAAATTGTTGACACAGATAAATGTTTCCTTTTGGGGTAATTTTGATAGTCTAATCACATTTTTTTATTCTAAAAATCAAGAACATACCCATAGAATAGAAATGTCTAATTGACAATAATTGATATGAACATGTAATTTATGGTTAACAAAATACTGTGGAAATTTCAAAAAGTTTTGTTTCACCCCAAACTATATTATACCTGTGCTTAACCAAAATGTTCACCATGATAACTGTTATTCACTGAATTATGAAATAGAAGTCACTACAATTTTTGGACCTATATTATAGATAGCTACTATGTATCAGAGAAAATAACATTACAATATCAAACCTTTTTCATATCTCATTACCTAAAAACAAAAGATCTCAATGACAGATGAGCTAATAAATAAAAAAATTATGTTCATATTACTACTGCATTAATGAAAATAAACTATAAACCAACATAAGATTTTGAAATGTCTTCTATTAGTGTTAAAAATCTTTGTAGGATTCAGTAGTCCTGAAATGTTACCCTAATTTCTATGTTTCTTATGCCTACCTTGGAGCACCTTGTACCATATATGCCACTGGCGGTCTCTCCACTGGCACTTCATATACATAATCACCATGGGTGTGGTAAGATGATCCTCCACACATAGGACATGTCTCAGTCCTCACAGAATACTGGGGTGGAGCAGGTCTTGGTGTCTGTCCAGCCTGAGGTTCAACAAGCACATATCCTGCAGGCTGAGCTTGACCTTGATCCCTTGCATCAAGGTCATCAAAAGAATATAGTCTTTGATAGGGCGATGTATGCACTTGTCTTTGTTGTGCTTGTCTCCTTGTTCTGTACCCAGCAGATATAGGTGTGGCATAAGAGCTTGTTGGCATGTGAGTTGACATAGGTGGAGCTGGTGGAGGGGGAGGGGTAGTTGTAAATGCAAGATTTGGCTGAGACGAATATCTCTGCATATTAGGGGCCCGTGGTTGAGTTTGCTGGGTCCCTGTTGTGTAATATCTAGGCACATAATATTCTAATAAGTGGTCCTCTGTTACAGTAGATGCAGTTGCTCTAGTTGGTGATTGGTCAGAATCGTAACCATTCATGGTCTGAGTTTCTATTGTAACCCCTCCTTGTCGATGTCTTCTTCTATTACGAGTTCTCTGTCGAGATCTGGGTGGTTCAGGTAATACTTCGGGTGGTGGAGGACGCTGAGCATATGAATCGGCTGCAGCATAACCAAGTGGGATATCTCCATCGGCATTGTGTTGTAGAGGATAACGTAACCACTCATCCCAATCTCTTGTTGGACCACCTGAAAAAGAGTTAGCTCTTCTTCTTGGTCCTCTCATGAAGGCATAGGGGTCTTCTGTAGGGTCAAAATACTGATCTTGATTTTGATTGGTTTGTTGAGGAATAGGTTGTGGCTGTTGCAGTTGTTGCTGTAAAGCCTGTCGCTGCTGGTTTGTTGCTTTTTGAAATTCCTCCCTCAATCTTCCTATTTCATCCTGTAATATTTTCAGTCTGTCACTACAAAAAGAATGGTGATAAAAATCAAGATCTATGCAACTTTTGTTTTAGTCAAAGTTGACTATTAGATGTAACAGTGATTCAAAAAACAAATTTAACTGTACGAAGTTTTAGATTGTTATTTGAAAATGACAGCATCAATTTTAACACATAAATATTTAGTGTTGAGATAGATAAAATTTGTAAGAAAGTTTTCAGTTTAGTAAATCACATACTTAATTAGAATCTGTTAATGGAATGGGAATAATATGTCCTTCATTAAGTACTATCTATAGACCAAATATTACTATTCAGGAATCTGTGACATTCAGCAAATTTTTGTGATATTTAAACTTTTGAGAGAAAATAACAATAATTTTTCATTGTGCAATGGATGTGCTTGTGATGTCCTGTAATGCTATACAAATAGAAATAAGTTTATTTTACATAATCAATGTACTTCAAATAATTCTGAAAAGTTTGATATACAACACATGCTCATGCAAAAATGTTTTTTCAAGCTACATGACAGGAATGAGATATTTACCTTCCTGTTGAGCCTCGAGTAGCAGTTGTCTCTGCTATAGACTCTTCAACTGTGTCTTCACTATCTGAACCTACAGCCATGTCTTTCACTTCTGGTTTCATATTCTGTCGTACAATCTCAGTTTTCTGAATATCTTGCTTCTTCACTGGAGTTTCTGCTCTCCCAGATCTAGGAGTTGGAGTTCTCTCTCCTTTTGACCTTGGAGTTGATGGCCTTTCAACCTTTGACCTTGAATCTGGTCTAGGGTCTATTGGAAAGGCTTTCATGGGTTTCAGTTTTTGTGCAGATCTGTTTAAAGATGATGGTCGAGGAGTTTCTTCCTCTGACGAATAAAGTTCACTGGTTCGATTAAAACTATTCGAGAAACTTTGATTTGGTGTAGCTCTAGGAGTCAAATCATCATCAGACATTTTAGTAGCTTTTGCAGCTTTCTGTTTTGATTTGTGTGGAGATCTTTTGTCCTGTGATCTAACACTTGCTCTAGAATGTTGACTAAGCTTTGACCTAGGCCTCTCTGAAATTTGAAAAAGGAAAAAAATTAAACTTTCTTCTTTCAAAATTATACAAAAAATACTCAAAATTAACAACAACACTTCAAATGGTCTGCAATTTTATTATTTAAGGTCTACATGTTTCGCCTGCAAGGCAGGCGTCATCAGGACAATTTATATAAAAAATAATAGGTATGAGGTACTCAAAGTGGTACATTGAAAATGATGTGACAATTCATAATGGTAAGTATTGGTAACGTAATGTTGATTGTTTTTGTACAGATAAAAATAGAATGATTAAAAATAGATTGACAACGAAAGTGTTCGTGTTAATACAAATAAGTTTACAGTTTTGCTTAATTTTATTAAAGACATATATTTCGGACAGGGTAATCTACTCTTGTCATAAACAGTTATCTTTACATTTCCATTAAACCCTTTGAGGTAAAGTTGCTGTATCCCCCTAGTTGGACGACAAAAAACTATCTTCAGATACTAATAAATGTTGTTTTATACATGTAATAAATTCTTTCAGATATGTTGATACCTTATTAAAAAGACCATGTGTCTATAGGACACCATGCCACGCCTGCACTATTACATTTCCATGTTAAGTGAACAGTGAAATCTTAGTCAAAACTTGAATTTGGCATAATAATTAAACACTTCACTTCATAATGAAAATATGAATGAAGTTTCAAGTTGACGTGAGAACTGCCATCTTAGATGGGCCATCAAAAACAAGAAGAATATTGTGAAATCATGGACGATTTTGGTGTACCGGAAAGCAAATTAAAAGTAACAATGAAAGTGCTATCAAACTTAATGTTATCTTTTATCAAATTAAATAAAACTATTTTCCTTAAGGAGAATATATTTTATCTATGAGTAGCACCTGAAAATATTGAGTTAACAAAGAATCATTTCAAATTCGCCATTTCAGAATCTAAAGGACCATGTGTAATTTCATTGTTCGTACCCCAAAATTTAAACAATGTAAGTCATTGCTTGAATTTCTAAAGTTTGGGACTTTGTAAGCCAATCACAGTGTTTGTGTGTATACTTTTGCAAATATTACCCAGAATGCATTAGATTCTGAAACGGCAAATTCATACCTACTCCTCTCCTTCCCATTCCCAAAAACTTCGTGTAGATTAATATATAGTGTCCAAACACAAATAATTGTGTGTACAATACTGTGTTAGGAAGGATCATTGATGGAATGTGTAAAAACTAAAGAAATAAATACACGATGGATTATCTCCCTTTAATAAGATCATACTGATATATGATATAAATTTTGATACCAGAAAAGAATAAATTAACAGAAAAAAGTTTCATTCCTTAAAAAAGATAACCAATTCTCTGTATTCCTTTGAATCACTGCTTAATTTAATTAAATTAAATTAAATAACTTTTAATATGAAAACATTTGTAAGATTTTTTACTTAGCAAAACAATCATGAAACACAACAAAACGAAACAAACACACACACATATGCACGAAAAATGTAATGCCTATGTAAGTATGAATATGGTGTACCATTTATTCAAAAATTCAATAAAAATGAAAATATATATTTATTATATTATTTGTGGTGTTCGATCTTTAAAACCCTATGTTATCAGATAGAAAACATCCTTCCATAACATTTTTTTTTTATATCTAATCTTTCGTTGAATTTTGTTTTAATGAATTTTTTCTGAAGAAATATTCTAGTAATATCATTTCTACTTTATATATGATATGGTAATGGTGTATGATAGGAAAGTGAAATATCACATGGACAAAAGCAGACAGTGATAAAACTAATGGAAAAGACTGTGATTGTTCTAAACACACAAAACATCCTAACCCTTCCGATCTGCTGAACGGCGACCTAAATTCAAAAAGGGCTGATGGGAATCTCTGCTTTCATCCAGTGTAGTAAAAGTTACAGATGATCCTGGAATTTTATCATGTTTAATAAAGTTATAAAGAAGACTAAAAATGGATAAATAATAATATTGACTTCCGGAAACGGTAGAAAAAAAACATACAGCTTTAGTTTCTTTACAGCAGCATGAGAAAATAAACCTTTAAAAACAAAGCTAGAAATGTTCACTCATATTTAGTTTTAAGCATGTGAAAAATAAAAAGTGTATACAAACAAAACACTCTTCTATTTTGTGGAAAATAAAAATGCAAATAAAAAATCTATGTACAAGTCTAACCCTAATACTCGAAAAAAAAAGTATAGAATATATTGTTGCTATGACAATACCTTCTTCTTCCTCTTCTATTGTATTCTCCAAACTACCTCCCCTTTTTCTACCACCTCTATTGCTACGTCGTTCTGATGGGATCTCAAAACTCATCTCACTTTCTGTGGTAAGAGTATAGCTATCGTCAGTAAAATCTCTGGACTGCACAGATTGGTCTTTCCTATTCCTTGAACGATTAGAATCCCTTGATGGTGGACGATCCTTATTTCTTACACGAGCACTTGCCATTGAACTGTCTGAATCTCTTTGTCTTGAACTGGGTCTAAAAATAATATGTTAAAATTATCATTGTTCATTTTGTAATCAAAATAAGCTGGCTTAAATAGTAACCTCGATATTAAAACAAAAGTTTATCAAATATTTTTTCCAATTCATTAACATCATTTCCTGTCAAGTTATCTAACACACATCATTTCCTGCCAAGTTATCTATCACATATCTTATTGTTCCTTGTGGTTGTATAAATGTTGGAAGAGTTTCTGTATTTTACTATGAGAATTTCAGACAATTTATTACATTATTTGTAAGATTTCAGTGTCCATTGAAGTCTGTAATTTGTTAATATTACAATAAAATTGGTGTGCCTCAATGCACAGATGTAGCTTTGTTGGCAGCTAGCAAAGCATTCCAATCAAACAAGTGATAGGAGCTGTCTTTAATTTGCTCTTCTATGTGAGGTTTTGCAGCATGTTGAAGTTCTCACTGTGACTTGGAGTAAAAAGAAGACAAATAAAATGCTCCGCTGGGGCGCAGCTTGATACGACCGCAGAGGTCGAACCCTGAACAGTTGGGGCAAGTATGGACACAACATTCAAGCTTGATACAGCACTGAATTTGGATTGTAATTAAATATTTGACACAGCATAGGTTTCTGACACAGAATGAAAGTGGTCTAAGAACTTAACTAGAGGCTCTAAAGAGCCTGTGTCGCTCACCTTGGTCTATGTGCATATTAAACAAAGGACACAGATGGATTCATGACAAAATTGTGTTTTGGTGATGGTGATGTGTTTGTAGATCTTACTTTACTGAACATTCTTGCTCCTTACTATTATCTCTATCTATAATGAACTTGGCCCGGTAGATACAGTGGAAAATACTTTGTAAAAATTTACAAAAATTTACAAAATTTATGAAAATTGTAAAAAATTGACTATAAAGGGCAATAACTCCTTAAGGGGTCAATTGACAATTTTGGTCATGTTGCCTTATTTGTAGATCTAACTTTGCTGTACATTATTGCTGTTTACAGTTTATCTCTATCTATAATAATATTCAAGATAATAACCAAAAGCTGCAAAATTTTCTTAAAATTACCAATTCAGGGGCAACAACCCAACAATGCGTTGCCTGATTGGTCTGAAAATTTCAGGGCAGATAGATCTTGACCTAATGAACAATTTTACCCCCATGTCAGATTTGCTCTAAATGCTTTGGTTTCAGAGATATAAGCCAAAAACTGCATTTTACCCTATGTACTATTTTTTAGCCATGTCGGCCATCTTGGTTCGTGGGCAGGGTCATCGGACACATTTTTTAAACTAAATACCCTAATGATGATTGGGGACAAGTTTGGTTAAATTTGTCCTAGTAGTTTCAGAGGAGAAGATTTTTGTAAAAAATTACAAAAATTTACGAAAAATGGTTAAAAATTGACTATAAAGGGCAATAACTCCTTAAGGGGTCAACTGACAATTTTGGTCAAGTTGACTTATTTGTAGATCTTACTTTGCTGAACATTATTGCTGTTTACAGTTTATCTCTATCTATAATAATATTCAAGATAATAACCAAAAACGGCAAAATTTCCTTAAAATTACCAATTCGGGGGCAGCAACCCAACAACGGGTTGCCTGATTGGTAAGAAAATTTCAGGGCAGATAGATCTTGACCTAATGAACAATTTTACACCATCAGATTTGCTCTAAATGCTTTGGTTTCAGAGATATGAGCCAAAAACTGCATTTTACCCTATGTACTATTTTTTAGCCATGTCGGCCATCTTGGTTCACTGGCGGGGTCATCGGACACATTTTTTAAACAAGATACCCTAATGATGATTGTGGACAAGTTTGGTTAAATTTGTCTTAGTAGTTTCAGAGGAGAAGATTTTTGTAAAAGATTACAAAAATTTACGAAAAATGGTTAAAAATTGACTATAAAGGGCAATAACTCCTTAAGGGTTCAACAAACCATTTTGGTCAAGTTGACTTATTTGTAGATCTTACTCTGCTGAACATTATTGCTGTTTACAGTTTATCTCTATCTATAATAATATTCAAGATGATAACCAAAAACGGAAAAATTTCCTTAAAATTACCAATTCAGGGGCAGCAACCCAACAACAGGTTGTCCGATTCATCTGAAAATTTCAGGGCAGATAGATCTTGACCTAATAAACAATTTTACCCCATGTCAGATTTGCTCTAAATGCTTTGGTTTCAGAGATATAAGCCAAAATCTACATTTTACCCCTATGTTCTATTTTTAGCCATGGTGGCCATCTTCGTTGGTTGGCCGGGTCACCGGACACATTTTTTAAACTAGATACCCCAATGATGATTGTGGCCAAGTTTGGTCAAATTTGGCCCAGTAGTTTCAGAGGAGAAGATTTTTGTAAAAGTTTACGGACGACGGACGACGGACGCAGGACGACGGACGACGGAAGCAAAGTGATGAGAAAAGCTCACTTGACCTTTCAGGTCAGGTGAGCTAAAAATTTTCAATTTACCTATTCATACATGTGATGGACTGTGAAACTCAGATCAGGAGATTGGGAAATTTTGGTCAGGAGATTAGGACTCAGATCAGGAGGTTTTTAATCGACATTAATTTTGTTGTAAATGTAACCGTGTGTTGTAAAAATGGTCTTTTAAAGTGTGTTTTCTTCAACTTTCCAACCAATTTATTATGTTTATAGTACCCTTGTACTTATAAAGTTTCTCCATCTTTATATTCTACATGTTCAATCTAACATTGTTTTTTTCCAGTATGTTCTTTAAAATTTTTACTTCATATTCTATAAAACAATCATTGCAACCAGAACATTTGTTTAGCTGTCTGCAAATAGTTTTTATTTTTTTTTTTTTCTCTTGCAAATAGTTTTTATTTGCAAACTCAGAAATTCATTCTATCTGTAAAGTTAGGGTCATAGTTATTATATAAATTTCAATTTAAGCCTTAAAAGGAAGTATAGAATCCTCAAATAATTTTCAAATTATTATTTTTTTATTTGTCCTAAGACATTTAAAATCATTTAATAACCATCCTTTTATGATTATTTGTTCAATTTATATTTTATTTATATCCTTTAAAAAATTTTCATTATTAAAAGGAAAGTAACTTAAAACAGGATAAATCAAGGGAAGTAACCCAATAAATACACAGTTTTTGTTACACAACGGCAGTTAGCCTGAGGTAAAAATCGTTGCTTACCAGTATGTTTGACACCCAAGCTGACAAGTGAAGCCATATAATTATGCATGTTAATTGATTTACAGGTAAAATATAACTTCAGGTAATGTCAGTTACACCAGATGCCTGAGATGTTATGTTGGGCAGAAATTTTTCATTCATGAAAAATTTCATACACGGGATTTTTTCAACGGGAGGGGGGAGGAGACCCCTGAAAACGGGATTATTGTACTCCCGTCTGGATGTTCACATGTATGCCTATTCAAACCATATCATTATTATTTGCTTTTATATATAAATCAGAAATAACCAATTAAAAATGGAAAATGTTAAAGAAAAAAAAGGAAAAAAAAAATCCCCCCCCCCCCAATTTTTTGAACCCCCTTATGATTCATCGCCCCCAAACTCAATCCCAGCTTTCCCTTTGTGGTATGGTACCTTGCAGTACAATTTCAGAGAGATTCATACACTTGAACACAAGTTATTGTCTGGAAACTAGAAAAATGCTTGTTTTTTGGCCCCTTTTTGGCCCCAAATTCCTAAAAGTTTAGGGCAATTACCCCAAAACTCAATTCCAGCTTTCCCTTTGTGATATGGAACCTTGCAGTACAATTTCATAAAGATCCATACACTTACACACAAGTTATTGTCCTGAAACTAGAAAAATGCATGTTTTTTTTTGCCCTTTTATGGCCCCTAATTACTAAAATTTTGAGGGAAAACCCCAAAAATCAATCCCAGCCTTCCCTTTGTGATATGGAACCTTGTAGTACAATTTCATAAAGATCCATACACTTACAAACAAGTTATTGTCATGAAACTAGAAAAATGCTTGTTTTTTGCCCCTTTTTGGCCCCTAATTCCTAATATTTGGAGGAAATTACCCCAAAAATCAATCCCAGTATTCCCTTTGTGATATGTAACCTTGTAGTACAATTTCATAAAGATCCATACACTTACAAACAAGTTATTGTCATGAAACTAGAAAAATGCTTATTTTTTGCCCCTTTTTGGCCCCTAATTCCTAAAATTTGGAGACAATTACCCCCAAAATCAATCCCAGCATTCCCTTTGTGATATGGAACCTTGTGGTACAATGTCAGAGAGATCCATACACTTACACACAAGTTATGTCTGGAAGTTACAAAAATGCTTATTTTTGGCCCCTTTTGGCCCCTAATTCCTTAACTGTTAGTACCATAACCCCCAAAATCAATCCCCACCTTCCTTTTGTGGTATTGAACCTTATGGTAAAATTTCAATGAGATCCATTCACTTAAACTAAAGTTAGAGTGCGAAAACTAATGTGTATTCGGACGACGACGCCGGACGACGACGCCGGACGACGACGACGACGCCGGACGACGACGACGACGACGACGACGCCAACGTCATACCAATATACGACCACAAAAATTTTTTTGCGGTCGTATAAAAAGCACTGTTCCTTTGCTTTGGGTTTTGTTAAGCACCTTTATTTTTTTGGGTCAAGAATCAATATACCCTATCTCTTTTTTTCCCATTTCATTCAAAACTTCTGTCTACAAATCTCTATGCATAACTGTTAACATTTATTTACATGTTTTTAATTTCTTCAGAAACTAGTTTTATAGAAATTTTCTTAATCATATAAAAATTGGCCTTCAACTGACAATCATATAAAGTTAATTGTACTCAGTGACATTATCCAACTTAACACCCAGTCTCTGACAGTTGCTCTGTGAACTACTTAACTAAATATTACCTTGGTGAAGCAGGAGGACCTCTCAGTCTCAACGATGGCTGCTGCTGCTGTTGTTGTTGTTGCCTTGCTGAGAGTTGACTGACCTCTGACCCAACAATTGATCCAATGAAACCACTGTCAGCATCAGGAGCATTCCTTTGTTTGGTCATCTCTTTAAATTTGCCTGGACCTGGAATATTTGACAGTGGTCCACCTCCTGTGGCCCCATTTTCTTGGTCTGATATTCCACTATCCTGTAAACTCTGCATACTTCCAGACATACTATGCTACAATTGAGTATATTCATCTTATAATTATAAGCCATAATTGTGGGATTGTATCATTTTTTCGTGGAAGAATGAAGTTGCAACTGTTTAATAACTACCCATACATAAATGATTTTTTTTCACATAATGTATTGAAAACTGTTTGTTTTTGTACTAAAATGACCAGATCATCAAATCAATTTTTTTTTAATGCAAGTAACGATTGAAAGAATTGAAGAATATTTCAAATCTTGTTATTTAAATGATCACTGTTATCATATCTTAGTCAATCTTTAACAACAACTTGTACTTATGTCTAATAATTGCACAACTTGAACATCTGTCTAAAAATTGCACAACTTGTACATCTGTCTAAAAATTGCACAACTTGTACATCTGTCTAAAAATTGCACAACTTGTACATCTGTCTAAAAATTGCATCAGTTGTCTTGTGTTAGCCTAGAGTATTGGATGGCATGGGTCTAAAATTAAATTGGTATTTTGGAATGAAGTCAGAATAATGTATCCCTGTTACTTCTCTTGACTGTAACCTTGTGCGCTAACATGTTATAAATTGACTAAACATGAAAATGTGTTAGACTGGTACCAAGCAGGTAATATTTAAATGACATTATCATCCTAAAAATGCATGTCATATTTGATTTATTGATAGCTGTTTAAAATCCATCAGCAAATATGAAATGTATCTACCAAAGAGCAGAAAACAGCCCAAGGCCACCAATGGGTCTTCAACACAGCAAGAAAATCCCTCAACCAGACTTCAGCTGGCCCAAAACAAAAATGTGTACTAGTTCAGTGAAAATGGACATCACACTAAACTCCGAAACATATAAATAAACTAAAATTAAAAAACATAAAAGACTAACAAAGGCCAGAGGCTCCTGACTTGGGACAGCCGCAAAAAATGGATTAAACATGTTTTGTGAGATCTCAACCCTCCTCCTATACCTCTAGCCAATGTAGAATAAACAAACACACAGCAATATGCACAGTAAAACTCAGTTTAAAAGAAGTCCAAGTCCAATGTCAGAATAGGTAACAAAAGAAACTAAGCAAAATGACAATGATACATACATTAACAAAGGACTACTAGCAGTTACTGACATGCCAGCTCCAGACCGCAATTAAACTGATTGAAAGATAATGTCTTCATCATATGAAAATCAAGCACAATCCCTCCCGTTAGGGGTTTAGTATCATACCATCATAAAATATATGAGAAGAACATAACTCGTATCATGCCAACAACTGGTTTGAGAATAAATGTGTTTATTTCTGATGCAAAGACCCCATGAGTGAATCAATATTAATACCAAAATATGCCATCTTTAATGACCTGACAACAGTATGGTAACTATATCCCTTCTGAAAAGTCTGTTTAAAGGTTTGGTTAGCTTTTGAGGTGAATGAAGACATTTTTGTGCTTTGTAAAGAACATTACCATAAAAAATTGGATGTGAAATACCTGAACGTATAAGATGTCTGCATGTTGATTTATATTTACAAATGATGTCCTTGTACCAATGATAAAATTTAGTAAATGTTTTTACTAGTTTGTGATATCGAAAACCCTGGTGTAATAATTTTTCAGTAATACAGATTTCTTTTGTTAAAATCTAATATGTTGTTACATACATGAGCGAATCGAACAAGTTGAGATATATAAACACCATAAGATGGTGACAAGGGAATGTCACCATCTAAAATTAGATAATTAACAATAGGAAATGAAAAATCATCTCTTTTATCGTAAATTTTGGTATTAAGCTTCCTGTTAGAGATATAGATATCAACACCCAGGAAAGGGCAGTGTTTATTGTTAGTATTAGCTTTATCTAAAGTCAGTTCAGCAGGCTATATCTCTTTAGTGTACATATTGCAGTCGTCATTATTGAAAGCCAATATATCATCTAAATATTTAAAAGTGTTATTAAATTTTTGTATCAGATGTTGTTTCGATGGGTCTTTGCTGATTTTAGTCATAAATTGTAACTCATAACAATACAGAAACAGGTCCACAATAAGTGGTGCACAGACTGCTTTGTACTAGAATTAGTCAAGGGAACAGTCCACAGAAAAACATAACATACTCAGACACATTATTGTGACTCCAAGCGGACCAGTCTTTGCTCTTACTCCTAAATGCTGAGTGCTTCGTAGAAAAGCTGCTAATACTAATTCTAATGTCTTTTGTTTGATACAGCAAGAGATATTACAAATGACCCCAACACTCAAGGCTTAACCACAAAACTACAAAAGAGTTTGTAATATTGAAGTTGGAACTAAAGCGGAGTGGATGCAATTATGATTTCGGTTGAAGATCAAGATACCATCTTTGAAAAATCATGAAATAAAACATTGGTTTCTGTGCTTGTTTTCAAGAAAATTGTGGTTCAAATTTTGTAGGAAAATCACTTTGCAATGTTCTAAATGGTTAAATAATGTTTCCTGCCAAATTAAAAATGCATAGCAAGAAAGATTAATCATATAATATCAATTTTTGTTGTTAATAAATTCTAAACAGCATCATTCATATATTTACATATAACAATAAGGAGATGTGGCATGATTGACAATGAGACAACTATCCACCAGAGTTCTAATGACGAAGATAAAAGCAATTACTGGTCACTGTACAGCCTACACCAACGAGAACATTTTTGTAGAACCCCCAATCCTCACAAACCTTTTTTCTATCCATTCGTCTAGGGTCTCTAAGATCATGTCTTCTTGGGCGAGGTAAATGAGGTGAATCTCTATCAAATGAACGATCAAACTCCCTGGGTGATCTCCCTCTACTGTCTCTAGATGATAAGCTACCTTGACTTCCAGAAAAATTATAGGATCCTGGTAATCCACTTTCTCTTGTAAGATCTATAATATAAGCAAATGTTCCGTTTTAAATGACTTGTTGCCCGAAATGTTATTTAACAAATAAGAATGAATATGGATGAACAATTTTAACATGTCATATTACACTTCAATACATGATCTTATAACTGAGAGACTGTTTTTATCTAATTTAAATTCTTAAAATATGAAAATTTTACTCTGGATCTCCCCCCATTTTTGATGAGGTTTGTTTTGCTCAGTCTTTGGTTTTCTATATTGTGTTTTGCATACTGTTGTTTTGTCTTTTGATAGTTTTTAGTTTTTTGCACTGGAACTGTCAGTTCCTTTTTCGACTAATGAGTTTGAATGTCCCTTTGGTATCTTTCGCCTTTCCTTTACAATGCCATTTACCATTTTCTTCTACAATCCTGTATCCAGTACAAAAGCGGCTTGTGTCAACTAATCTTTTATTCATTAATCATTTAGAATATATGAAATCAACTCCAAAAACACTTAATTAAATCAACCTAACCACAAAACTGTTAAAAACTGATTGATCAGACTTTTATTGCTGAATATTTATAAATGATCAAAACTTGCCCCTCATCAGCCAACAAGCCATGGGGAATTTGGCAATCACTTATAACAGAATTTTAAAGAACAGAAGTAAGTGCAAGTTGATAAAAAACAAAAATCTCAGTTGCCAAATGAAATTCATTACCATATACTAATGTACAGATGTCTGTAATAGTTAAGCTTACTCATCTTTTTCTATTGCAGCATTCTTTAGACTGTAATTGGTTGAGAAGCAAGCTAGTATTTCATATCGATTTGAACGATTTTATTTTAACACTGAAATGAAAATTACCTCATCGCACAACTAGCATCCATATTTACTGAACAAGACAAGTACTAACCTCCATTCATATCCTGGTGTGACCTTGACCTTTCCAGAGCGTTTTCCATAGATGCATTAGGATTATTTTCTCTTCCCTGTAAAATCATGTGACATATTACTTAAATGTTTGAAGCAAAAATAAAGTAAAAATCTAATGAAGTCTTATTTCTTTTAAATAATGTTTCAAATCTTTTTAATGAAGTTGTTTGGTATTGGATATATTCATTTGTTTACAATACATATCTGAGGAGAAGGAAAAATTTGAACAAATACATCAATTCACCTTTTAAAATGGTTGGTCGAAATTTTTGCTCCATGAAAATTCAGTTATACATGTATTGACAATTACACAGTATTTTATCTATTAAGTTTCTGTTTGTCAATAAAGTTAAAAAAACATGTTCACTTCTACAAACCCTTATAAAACTTTGATTTTCAACACTTGCATAAGGTTCTTTTCTTCTGACTCCATTTTGTATAGGTCCGTTTTCTGATACGGCCTCTGATGGGCGTCGCCTTCCTAGGAGTCTAGCTTCTTCGTCACCATCATGTATTTGTTCCCACCTGTAATATGCTAATTTATTAGTCAAACTCAAAATAATAATTAAGGGACTGATTAAACTCATAGGCATACAATAAACAAAAATAAACATGATACCTTAAATTGTTAATTCATATCAGGAGACTGATTTATTTTGACTATGTTTTGGTCAGTTTAACCTCCCTTGTGAAGAATAAATTTGCACTTTATAATTCTCTTCTTTTTAATATGTCTCAGCAATCTCCATCAGTATAGAAAGGTATCAGTTCACAGACAAGGCACTCTAGTTGCAATTTTTTTTAATTTTGAGGGCAAATCAGTGAACAACTGTAAAATTATTTAATTAATTTTATCCATTTAATGGAAAATGGTATATATTACATTTTGAGAAATAATTTCCACTGTATTTACTTTAATTCACTATTGATGGATGCTTATGCTAGCAATATTTTGGAAATAAATTGATTCAGTTTTAAAATTAAGTGCAAATAAATAAAACTGCATGAAATTATGATGCAAAAAGTGAATTATACATCATGTGAATATGTAACAATTTACATATACATGTGATATAAAAAAAAAAATGTTTAACAAAATGTGACACTATTGTTTTGATGACCATTGCAATAAATCCTGTCCAGTTTGTAACAATTTGATTATATATCTAGTATAAAATCATTAACCAATATATAATACACCTTATGTTAAACTAAAGTTGTCATGCTAAATTATACATGTAATAATGACCAGTAATAAAATGTGATTGATTGATTGATTGATTAATTGATGTTTAATGCCACTTTCAGCACTATTGTGCTATTTTGTGGCAGTCAGTTTTTATTGGTGGAGGAAGTCTGAGTGCCTCGAGAGAACCACTGACATTCAGTAGGAAAACTGACAATTCTAGTCAATAAAGATCGGAGTTGTCGAGCACACCTGCAATGTGCTGGATTTGATCTCACAACCTCAGTATTGACAGGCTAGTGATACGGTAGTTCAACAACTAAAGACCACTCAACCACCGAGCCCCCCTTGTGATAAAATGTGACAGTAATATGTAAAGATAAAACTTTTATTATTTGTTTTAAATACACGGCTAGATTTATGCAGCTGGAGCAACAATTAAACACTATGAATGAAGTTAATAGTATTTCTCTTTGTCAATATCATTTTGTACAGTTCATTTACATCTATGTGACCTTTCAACCTTAAGTTTCAGCTTTTTAAAGTTTTGACATATGACCTTGGACAAAAACTTAATCATAGTCAATAAAGAATAAATGAGTCACAGTGACCTAATTTTTGCTGACTCTCTCTCCCAAGTTGCATCCATGCACTTGTTTACATCATCCTTCTGTCCATCGTGCCTGAGATATGAATATGGAAGTAAAACTCAACAAAAGTCATTAAAGCAGGGTCGGCCGGGATGAAGGGTGGGAAATTTGAACTTTTTTTTTTTAATTTAGAAAATGAGAGTGAATTGGATAGGGACAGACATTTAGCCTTGCAACAGGCCACCTACGAAACCTTCAGACTTATTGCAAGGGTTCTTAATGTGCAGAGAGCATTTGGCACTCTCTCTACAAGAGGCACATATTTAAAGTCCCCATTCTGACTGGTCTTGGCTGCATATTTATGCATCCAACCGATCCGAACGGATGCCCCACTTGGGCAAGGATTTTACTGCCAGTGGAAGAAGGAAGACAAAGAGTGACCATACTTCTATTGCCCAGTCCCCCTTAGGGTAGGTATGCCGTTTTGATTGCAAATCTTTGATAGTCTGTGTTAAATTCATTTACAACATTTCTAAGACCCCGGGCCGAGAGTGAGTGAATCAAAGATTTGTTCTTCCTCAAATCTCTTCAAGTGAACATAACATCCCATTTCTACTAAAATCTGTAGTTCATGTGCCAAAATCTATGTAACTTTTGTGATATACCTTAATTCAATTCATTTTTCAAAATCTGAAGTTAATTTCAGTCTTCATGAAATATTTTTTTTCATGTTCTTCTCAATGTTAGCTCAGATTCACAAAGACTTACACAATACAGAATTAGCATAAAGATGCTGCAATACTAAGTTTAAAAATCTAAATGGCAAAAAATAAATAAAATTTGTAAATAGCATGTACATGTATCACTAAATGAGCAGAAATAAATGTTACAGCAAATGTTATGTGACGATAATTTGACTAGTAAATACATGAAAAATACATTCATATAACAAATATATACATAATATTATCAAATTAAATACAGTGTCAAATCTGCCATTTTAGCCAATTCCACAAAAAATTATCTTTTCATCTCCAATATATGGAATTCTGGGTATCCAATTCAACTCTCACTGCTTCAAAACAAATCATGCAGTACATAATACTAATATAAGCTTATACTTTTCACTTTACATATAATATTTTCAACTGGCAAGTCAGTATACGGTAGATTTTCAAACAAACAATTTCACACAGAAATAAGATTTTTAGTTAAGTTAACAAGATATCATAAATCTGTCATTTTACAGCTGAAAGTGTTTACCCAGAATTCCATATTAAAACAACTTACCCATCATCACTATCTATTTCCTCTGGTGAGGAACTGTAAAAAATGTACCATCACTTTGATAAAACTTTCAATATTGTGATTACTTAACTATCACACCTGAATTGTTAATCTTTTATTTTATTCTTTTATTATTTAATTAAAATCTGAAGCAGTACCTCTACATTCTAAAAAAAAGTTCCCTAAATACTACCCAAGCATAGCCATAAGGGTTGATATGTGGAATTTATTTTAGGTAGGCAGTAATAGCAACATTTTCTTCAATTCATTTATCCATATCATAAACTTGGATACATATATGATGGTTTGTTTTGAAGCTTGGACATTTCCACATATGTGGTTAGATTTTCAGGGGACAAAATGCGAGATTAAAATTTATCAATATAGAGTTGGTCCTATTTATTCAATATCCTTGGATACGGCCCTCATTAAAAATCCCTTATCCATGAAAGAAGGACCCAGTTATTTTACATCCTTATTCTATACAGTATTGCAATAATTGAAATGCAGATTTCTGTTTTCCTTAATTTGACTGGAAATATTTTTAATTCCAATTTCATGTTTGTTGTCCCCTTGTTTTTTTTTGTGAGAATTCTTGAAAGGCATGACCATATACATATAAGGTTAATACCAAACTTCATGAAACATAAAACCTTGATAACTGCCTTTTCAAAATGCTCCTGATTGTCACCTTTTCATATTTTCACTGGCAAAATATCACATTAAAAAACGTAAAGATTTATATTGGGACTTCATTAATATGTAACTCATTTCCTATTACCTTGGTTCTTATTCCGTAAGGTTCTTTATTAATGGGGATTAATTTATTTTTGTGGGTACCAATTTTCGTAGATTGAAAACTTCCATTTTCTTGGATATTTGATTTCATGGTTTTGCCAAAGTCTGCATTCAAGCCTACAGAGAATTTGTAATTTGTTGAACATTCAAATTTGGGGTTCACCTGTACCCACAAAAATGTGGTTGCTACGAAAAATAATAAATCTGCAGTATATCAGTGTATTAGTTGATATCATAGTCAAATCTGTTTTTTTTTTTTACCTCTGAGCCTTACAGATAACTTACTTACAATATATCAAAATAATCATTATGAAATTACCTTTCAATTTCTTCATTAAACCAATTAGTACTACTGCTGCGACTAGAAGCTGCTATACTACTGTTAGAAGGAGTTAAACGATGTCCGTGTTAGAAAGGCAAGCAAAGCAAGAAGAAAATAAAGTAAAAAGTTAATAAATGGAATCAATTTGTCAGTAATGCATGTTAGATACAATTAAGTTTTGCATATGCCTTTGTTAAAGGTAACCTTGTGGGCACTTGTTACATTATTTGTGAGGTATATATGCTTTATATAACAGAAGCTTGCCATTTTAGGGTTTTGTTCGTGTGTTAAGTACATGCAGCTTAATCTACCAAATGCTGTAGGTGCAGAGTAGACCAGCAATTTATTTAAAAATATCAGTGAACTTGGTTAATATAGTTGAAGCATGATATTAACAAGATTGCATATGTTGTTGTGCTTAGCATACCCCCACTCGTATTTCAAAGTATTGGAAAATAGGAAGTGGGTTTCTGAGATCTGAAAAGCGCATACAAGTTACAACACATTACTGTTGGGCTACTGACCAAATATAAAGTTATTCTGTTCAGTAGTACTGGAGAAATACATGATGGAAGGCTTTACATTTATTCAGCAAATTGAATAAGTAGCAGTGCCTTTATTTTGCATTTTTGATATATTCTATCTAAAAGGTATTTAATCAGAGGCAAATAAAATGACTCTGTTTACAAAATAGAAAAACATGCATGATGATACTCTTAGATGTATTATTTTTTTGAAATTGAACAGTGTGTTATGTTCACCAATTCCAACGATAATTTAAAGTTTTCGATAAATCATTATATGGTACAACATATGAAAAATTCATTTAAATCTGACAATATAAGTCCTGCAACTCTGGAAATCAGAAAATTAATAAAAGTTAAAGGGAGGTTCCTCTTTCTCAATCTCAACAATAATGTAAAATTGAGGAAATAAATTGCCTAAAATCTAATAGATAAGTCCTGCAACTCTAGAGAGACAAAGCCATATATTTTCAAAATTGAAACAGAAAAGGAGAGTTTTTCGGTCAATCCTAATATTGTGTTAAAATTACATGAGAATTGGTTTAATCAAATTTGAGTTGTAGTACAAAGTGTTGACAGATGGACACAGACAGACAGACGTTATTTGCTTACTAAATTTGCTTAATTTTTTCTGTGTTTTACATAAAAAGGAAATTATATATCTAGTAAACAGAAAGATAATTATGAATATGGATGTTAATTTTTAATCTGTTACATTTTAGTACTGCAATTATTAGCTAAAGCATTAAAAAGCACATAAAATAACTTTTAAGAAATTACTGACTATCTGCTGAAACAAAGACAACAATGTAAATATCCTGCTATATCTTTAACCTTAAGTAACTTGATGAACAAGTGATCTTACCTTTCTTGCAATTCCCTTGGCATTCTAAAGATGTCGGGTTCATCATCACAAATATTTCTTAGTTTCTACAAAATGTAATATAGCTATTCGTAAAAAATCTATCAGTGTAAGACTCTTAATTATTTTATATTAAATCATAATGATAAATTGAAAATTCCCACAAAAATACTGATACATAAAACTATTTATTTTGTTGTCAATTAACGCAACTAATTTAAAACTGCATGGTTGAACTGTTTTTGATTTTGTTATGCAAAATTCATTTTGGACAAATTTGTTACAATTTACAAATGTGTATTCCTTTAACTCAACTAAGTTTGAATATATCTGCACTTTGTATAAGACTTATGTGTCAGTACTATAACTTTTGTGTATACTCAAATGTTTAGTATAGAAAGTTCAGAATTTTCACTGTAAGTTTTGTGAAAAAAAGGGAAACAAATGTGTTTGATGTAGTGTATTTTGACTATAAACACAGTTAACAAGCATGACAAGAAAGTTCTTATTCCTGAAAAAACAGAAGCTAAGTTATAAAGTTAAGTCAATGACACTTACACGAACGAGATTATCTATTTCCTCTTCCCTCTCTGGTGTCTGAGCCATTTGCTTCAATCTACGATACCTATCCATTAGAGCACTATATTCCTCATGTAAATGTTTCACTTTCTGTTCAAATTCAGTATTCTCCCTTGGTTTAATCAAGTCATCACCTGCTATGGTCCCTTTCATTTTCTTTTTCATTTGGTCAACAGACCTACCTTCATGGTCGCTAGAATTAACATCTGACATGTCAGAAGTGTTTGCATCAACCATTTTTTTCTGAAAAGGTTGTCGCTCTGAGGCTTTTTCTTTTTCACTTTGTTCAATAGCTTCATGGATTTCATCAAATTTCATTCCAAGTCTAAACAATTCTCCTTCTAACTCTTTGTCTCCATCAAAGTTAATATCAGTTAAATTAGGCTGTGACCGTTTCAGAACGTTATAGTCTTCTTTTGACTGTAAATAGTCATGTCTCAGTCTTTCATGGTTTGTTCTGACCTGATCAAAAACTTTAGCCTTTTCTTCATGAGTTAATTGTTTCTCTTCCAACAAAGTTTTGAATGATTCCATCTGAAATGAAAGAAATATTTTAACATCAAAACATATATAATACATGAAATTTGATTTTTTTAAGACAAAAAAATCATGGTAAAATATTTACATTTATTCTTTTCCTTAACAATGTCTTTCCTGTATTAAATCAATGTAGTTCCAGGTTATTTAAAGTTTATTAACCTTTTATTTTAAGAACACCTTTATGCTTTCAGTATGAGTGTTTAATATCTCCAGATCATTGCCATTTTGAACCAAGCTTTTTTCAGGATGGAATATCATTAAATTTAGCAAATGTATATTAATTATGTGCTTATAAGTATATATCACCAGAACCATGACCCAATCGTTTGACTATATATTTCCTTATTGCTATAGACACTTAATGCTGTTCTTTTCAATACAATATATTCATACTTCCATTTATCATAAATCAAATGTTGTTTTGGGTACAGCTCCATAACTTTTACTGTAATAAATGGTTAAAAAAATATGAAGTTTACTAGAATTTTACTGACATCCATTCAAGAGGGCAGAAGGACCTTGTTCCAGACATCCAGAGTGGGCCTTTATTTTTGCAGAAATTTGGTATTGGACATATATTTTTGCTCTATTTCAGGATTAACACATGTCCGGACTCAGGGATTAAGGATTAGTTTTTCTGGATCCGGAAAAGAAATGCTATATTTGTTCTGAAATTCAGGATGACACCACCCCTCTCCCTCTCATACAACATGCTCTAAGAAGTCTAGTATACATTATAGTTAAGGGGCCAGCTGACGGTTGTGGGATTTTTTAGCTGTGTTGAAGACCCATAGGTGGCCTTGGGCTGTTTTCTGCTCTTTGGTCCGGTTGTTGTCTCTCTAACATATTCCCTCTTTCCAATATCAATTTTATTGGAATTAAAATTTAACTAAAAAACCAATTATTTTGTTTTTATTATTCTGTGTATTAACAAGTTAAACTGTAAGCTACTGCTCACATATGATACCTCTGCTATAAGTATTCAGTAAACAGAAAGTCAAAAAGCAATGGATGTAAAAATGTTTCATACAGTATAGCATGCATGCTCAAGTGAACGTTTATAACAAATTTCAAGATGCTCTGATTTGTATTTCTTTCAAAAAAATGTGACAAAAACTTCATACATGGGCACCATTTTTATAAATAACTAAGTACATGTATTGGGTAAAAAGGAAGTTTAAGCTATGAATGTGAAAATGCATCATACAGTATAGCATGTCCACATGAAATCTATTATAAACACATTTCAATAAGCTCTGACTTGTAGTTCACAAGAAAAATATGACTGAAATTTCATGTGAAAAATGAACGTACGGACAAACGGACATACAGACAGAAAAGAATACCCCCTCCTTTGGACCCAGAGTATAATAAGTATCCATATAACTGGAACCTCACATGACATAAAACTGTCACATGTAACTGTAAACAAATCTGTTATTAGTAAGGATTTGAGATATGAAAATTAAACACAGGCAAGAGTTTAAGATGAAGATAACTCAGTACTCAAAAGAAAATAGTTGTTGAGAGTTCTTTCCTTGAATGTGCATCACAAACTGAGGGCGTAGGAGATTTCTAATTTATGCTGGCTTCACTTTTTTTAGGTTTCTTTCATTCCAATAAGGAAAATTCCATTTTGTTCCAAAAGCTATTTACTATGCATGCATATTATGTCACCAATTTTATTGCAGCTTCCATATGTCTTTCAATTTACTATTTACCCTTTATATTATTAACTTATACATATACTGTATATATAAATCTCAGGAGATAAGATATAATCAGTAGTATTTTCCATTGATAAAATATTTACCAAAATTTGATAATCATTAGAAAATAAAAGAGAGTCAGCATTTCTAATAGTTTAAAAGTGTTGTTTCACAGATTCAAAAATTATTTCAGCACACCTTATTCAAAAAAGTTTATGTAAATAAATTGATGGTCTTTAAACTCCAAAATATTTGAAATCAATCCCAAACAATTACGTATGAATATTTAAAAGTCAGACCATTTAACTTCATTTATCACATTGTACGGATAAGAATTGATCATTTGTGTGTAAAAGGATTTTCAATGAGTAAAATTGTTGAATATTTTCCAAATGGGTTTGTTTATAAGTTGTACAAGAATGAACAAGAGATAAGGTACATGAGGGAACTGAAATGATGTATTATACAAGACATGTAACTGTCATTAAGCAAAATAAATAAAGTATCATTTCTCAGATCTAGCTTAGGTATTTCATTGGCGAAAAAATGCTGATTATTCCTCTAAATTTTACACTTAAAAATTCCAACAGATGATGATATGAAAGGCAATCAGCCACGAGTAAGAATACAAAAGAATAAGCTATTCACAACCTTTTAAACTTTTTAGGATTTCATTTAATGTTTAAAAAAAGATCAGGATGACCCAATGGACATTTTATAAGAGTGATTTTTGAATTCGCCATTTCAGAATTAAGGACTATGGGTAATTTCATTGCTCATACCATAGTACCCCACTAAGGAAATAGAGTCATGTCATCGGTTGAATGTTCCTTGTTAGAACATTGTTGGCCAATCACAATGTTTTGATGTAAGCTTTGGAAAATATAACCCAGAATGCATTAGATTCTGACATGGTGAATTTCCTTCTCCGGTGTTGCTGTTGTCTATTTCCTATGGAATTTAGTTCATTGGTCATCTCTGTCCAAATATTTCACAATCTGTATTTATCAGGGCCATTAATGCCTACTTGTAAATTACTCAAATAAAATACAATCTAGAGAACCTAAAGGTTTATTCTCTTGTTGCTCATTTTTAATGTTAAGAATCTCGTTGATATTCAATTTTCTGCAAAAAGTTTTTTTTTTTAAAGAGGGACGGAAGGACATTTTCAGGATGTTGGGATTGGACCTTTATTTTTTCAGAAATTCAGGATTTACACTTATCCTGACTCGGGAAATAATGATTAATGTTTTGGGGTCAGAAAAGAATGCTCTATTTTTTTGGAAAATTTGGGAATCAGAGTTTATTTTCTGGGAAATCCAGATAACATCCACCCCTAAACCCCCTTTTAAAAGAATACTTAAGTTTCAAACCATTAACTCTTATTAACCTTGTCAAAGTTAATAAGAATTTGCATTACTTAATCTTATGGCTTTAATCTATTTAAAACTCTTTTTTTTAACAGGAAAATAAAAATTTCAACAAAATAAAAAGCTTCAACAGAATTTACAATGTAATGAGATATATAATTTAAAGCATTCGGTAATAAGAAAAGAACACAATATAGTTGTATAATGTATTAATTACCCTATCATCCAAACTACGTGCTTGGAACAACAATCCCATTTTAACACTCTCAGCACCACTTTCCTGTGTTCTACTTTCTGACAGACCCAAATGGCCATTAAGTAAGCCAGAATCTGACTGACTTCTTGCTTTATATCTCTGTTCCTGTAGTCGTTCATTGTTTAATTCAGCTGTAAGGCTATCTGTAAGATAAAGTCATCAAGTTTTAGGAAATCTGTTTTCTATTATGTAGCTTTTCTAGTTTTCCTATAATAGGTTTGATGATGCCTTTGTTCTGTCTTAAAACCACCACATATTCTTGAACTTGAGGAACTTTGTCGTTGATTTTTTTCTGTAACAACTTAATGTTATTTGGAGAATTCGGTGTTGATGGCAGATTTTTTTTATTCTCTGTTTGATCTATAACCAACTTTTTTAGACTCCTAAAATTTAAGATTTTGGCAAATACCGATTTTAATTTTGACTGTATGTTTACCTCTGGATGTCTTTTGGTTATTTTGTTTCATTGGGTTGCTGTATCAATGATATATACCCTATATGACCTTTTTTCTTATTGATTTGAAAAATTATCCAATGAAGAAAACTGTCATTTTTAGCATTCAATGTACAAATCATACAATTGTTATGTCAATTAGCTTTTACAAAAGTCTTTACCAAGATCCTTGCTTCCATTCCAATAAGTGCCAAACATAAAACATGCAAACTAACATTTTCTAAGAGAGAAAAAATTCAATACTACCAGGGAATAGTAAGCAAAGGCATGCCTATATAAATTTTTGTTTCCAATTCTGTTCTCTGACGCAAATACACAAACATGCCACCATTATTAATCTTATATTGTCTTATAAGCAAATATTCAAACAAAAACTTAAAGTACAATCTTAATCAACCATCATTTACCCAACTGCTGTTAAAATAATCTATGAGTGAATCAAACTCAACAAGTGCTTGTAAACATTTACCAGGAACATGCATTTGTTTCAACCTTTCATATTATGTATGTTTATCTTTTAACAGAAATACAGATAAAGCCAAAACTAAAGAAGCTGCCACTCTATAATGCATACAAAGTAAACAGCCTTGCTTATGCAAAATCAAAGTGCTACAACAAAATAAACAAAATAATCAAACCTACCCTCCTCTCTGGAAACTTCTGAAATAACAGATAAAGGACGTAATATCCACGAATCACTGTAAGCCAATGGGTGAAACTTCCGAGAATAGCTATGTACTTGTTGGGATAAATTCAAAAATTCCTGCTCATCAAAAGTCATTGTACTTAAAAAAATCGTAATTTAGAATACTTTCTAATAATAAATCATTAGGGATAAGCTAAGAACCTTTGTATTATTATTTAATTCCTCGCCTCAATACACTAGCTATTCTATGTCAAAGTTCTCAAAGTATAATGTATAAGCTTCTTAAATCTGGGATAGATTGTTTATTCCTTCTTGTACTATCATTTTAATTTCTGAACCATAAAGTTAAAGTATAAAATTGTCACTCTATATAAATCCTCTCAAGTCTAGATTTGTTTTTTGAATTTTTGCAGTTTTGATAATCCAGGTGTAACTTTGTTGTAAATCCAAATTGTTAAAAAATGATGATATACAATAAGGTTGTATTCCTCAGCATCTCGTTTCAAAGTAATTGCTTCATTAAAATTTGATTCAGCTTCAAAACTTTTTTGCTGCTAAAAATGTCATTCTTTTATCTTGTTCTCCACTTGTAGACACAAGTACATTCACAATGTTCACCGACACGAACATTCCTAATATTTTCTGCATTTAAGATTAATGTACATACATTGTACTAGAAACTTAACAAAAATGGATGTTTCAGTGTAAATGTGGCTATATATCTCTTAAAAAATAATCCCATTAAAACTTAGATTTCTTGCACTTTTTAGTATAATTTGGTTAAGAATAATGACATTTAGCATGCAACTGAACAAACGCTATTCCTAACATTCATTAGAACACATACTCTTGTCTCACATATTTTATCCAGTCCTTCATAGCATCACTTAAGGTTCTTTCATACATCTTGAATTTTAAAAATAGATTTTTTTTTGTGTTTAACTTAATAATATAGCAGCTACACAATCTAGTAGGTTATAGAATTTTTAATAGCTCATTAATTCATCAATTATGTTTGAAGGGGTTTAACTTAGTCTTAATTAAAAGTTTATCCTGTTTGAGCCACTCTGTCATTTAGAGCTTTTTGAATGGAAATTATAATTTACAATAGATCAATTAGATTCAAAGGAAACTAAACTATACATGGTAAATGAATTATGGATGGACATATTTTATCAAATTCTGTCTCCATAAGTGGATGACATTTTCCCAAGTTTGATAAAAACATTAAAAAGATTGGTGTTTAAAGTGGGAGACAATATTTACAAATAAAAATTGTGGAGGGACCTAAAATTATTAAAAAGTGGCATTCAAAAATAATGCTAAATTTATAAAAGATTAATTAATAAGATTGTACCATGGTAAAATTCCTATATGCAGAAAAGTTTAGCACCTTTGGAATTTAAAATATGGACTTAAAAGGTCTTGCAATGACATGCAACAATAGGTCATGCTAACCAGAAACCAGTTTCAATCATACCAATTCTCTAATTATACTTTGCAATAGAAGACGGGAGAGATGAAAATATGGATACTTTATATCATTCACAAGTTAGCTAATTTTAATATGGTTGTATGTAAAAGATACAAAATTGAAATAAAAGTTATATGCATGTTTGCAATATATATTCCTCAATCCCCCCCCCATACATAAAAAAAAATAAAATGCTGCTCAATTTTCCTTATTATGTATAAATTCCTGCCCTAAAAAGAAAATCTGCTATGAATTGTTGGTAAATTTATGAGGTTTTCAAATTTCATCCATATAAACATCTACATTATAATTTTTTTTTGGACTTGATTGAATAAAAAAAGCCAAAGTATGCATTATGCAAATGTGAAAGTCCATGAAATGAAAAATTCTATAAATCAATCAAAGTGTGCACTTAAAGATAATTAGACATTCTTATAAAATTCCATTACACATTTTTACTAAAAATTAAATGAACGATGTATTTATCAACATTCATGATATAGTTTCAAAATTTTCTCCTTTGCCTTTTAAAAAATTACTGGAATGTGTTCAGTTAATAAGTTTACATTGATTTTAAACTGATCTATTGACAATATATAATCTGGCAAACTTTCAAAGCTTTTCATTCCTGTATTAATTTTTAAATGTACATTAAATTTGTACGTCAATAAATATATCTTGGATCGGCTATTTTCTATATTAAGTTCACACCTTAGAATAAAATTCTAAATTTATAAAAAGTGTATTCATACAGGCAATAAACACCTGAATAGTACATATTTATAATTAAAAACTTTCATTAAATTTCAATGTGACAACTGCAGGTGACCTAATTATCAAAACAGGTGAAGCACAGGTGACATGTTACTGCATGTTTTTTTCAATTAAACGTCTGTCAAAGTGTGAAAAGAGGTTTAAAAAAGTTCACAGTATTTGGCACTAAAAACTTGTGAACCTAAATGTTGCACACTTGCAATTATATATAATTCAATTTTGAAAGAAAGAATAAAAATAATTGTCATCTTGAATATGCTATTTAGTAGATAAAACTTTGAAAAATAGATTAGCCAATTCCTACACACTCATCTGTAAGAATTACTTTTAATATACAGTTTATTATCAACATGAAACTATGACTAATTACTTTTTCCCAGTATTTCATAAATTTATATTTTGTTTTTGAATAAATTAGCACAAACCTTGAAAGGTATGAACTAGCAAGATTTTTACAACATCTCAACAGAAGTAGGACAATACGTTGAATAATAAAAAATATTCTTATATTAAGGATAACAAATGTGGCTGCTGAAATTCAAAATAGCATATGATTTCATATTAAATGACTATCTTATTCAATATAGATCATGTAAAATACATCAAAAATATATAAGAATTAGGATAGGTTAGTGTGTCTTATTTTTCAGATACAAACATTTGACGGAATTGTTTTTGATGAAGATTAATGACTAACCTTGAGATAACGGACTAGCAATAGAGCCTTGGAAAGGTGAAGGTGATTTTACAGCACGTCCAGGTCCAAGCTGTAACATCTGCTGCTGTTGAGCCCCTGGTAAAGTTCCTGACATAGCTTGACCAGGAGTAGGGGAATCAGAATGAAGAGTAATTTTAGCTCCAAGTCGAAGCTGGTCAATTGTAAGTTCAGCTAAGGCATATTTAGAAAGAAGCTTATCATAGTCCATCTGCAGTTGCTGCACAAGTTCTGTTGCCTGCTTACGTTTATGAAATTCCTGTTTGAGTTTTGATGAGAGTTCAACTTTAGCTTTGTCCGATGAGCCACTGACATCATCATGTTCAGTATCTCCATGATCAATATTGATATGTGATAAATCTACTAGCGACATGTGAGTTGGCTTAACAGGGCCAAACTTTGCAGCAATATTTGTTGTGCTTTTACTTTTAACCCTGAAATTTTTATTATTGTCATCTTGGGCTGTAGGTTTAGGTAAAAGTCGTTTTGGGGGCATTTTCTCAGAATTTTGTTCCTTCTCACTTCCACCTTTTGCTGAGTGAGTCTGTTTTGTGTTTTGTTTTGATAAATTTCCCAGTGATGGTTGACGGATAGGTGTTTTAGGTCCTCTGTCAGAAGCAGATGATCTTTGACTAGTTACAGAATCAGGTCGTGTTGGGGTTATAGAACCTGACCTTCTCCAGTCCCTTTTATCAGGAGTCACTGATCCTTCTCTGCTGAAGGGAGTATTACCCCTACTACCATAGTCTGATACATCAAATGAGTCATCTTCAGTATGTCTACCATCTTGTTTTGGTGGTCCGCGATTTCTAATCTCCCTTTCTGTTCTTTCAAAAGACTGATCAAACGACCTGTTCCTTTGATTTACTTTGTCTCCTTTTCTATAACTTGGGCTCCTTGAAGGAACATCTCTTTCATTTTGATATGCCCTTATTTTCGCTGGTTTAGGGGTATCAGATATTTTACTTGTTATTAGAAATATTTCGTCATCATCATTTGTTCTCTGAGAATTGTTTTCAAAATCTATGCTGGTTGCATCTCCGAAGTCACGAGATTCTAAATTTTCCTTATATAATTCCAAAGCTTCTTCTGGGCTTATCTCAGGAAATGATCCTCGACTTAATGTCCTCAAAGATGTAGCTGTTGTAGGACGTGTATTTGATGTTTGGTATTCGTGACCATGAATTTGACTCCTACTTATATCAGGGACAACAGAATCATCATGGTACTCTTCTTCTTGTGGTGTAGGTGTTGCCCTTAAATAATCATCAAATGCAGGTCCGTCATCTTTTTCCTCAAAGTTTATATCATCCTTTGAAACATGCTCCTCCAAATGTTCAAATTCTTGAAGTGAGTCTTTGTCATCAACTAAATCTGCACCATCTACTAATACACCTAATTCCCTTAACTGTTTGTAATACTCCTCATCAAATAGTTCCTTTCCTGAGTCTGTTGATCGTCTTAGATTTTCAGTATCATCATAAGTTAAAGAATTATTGTAGCTGCTATGGCTACTCCTCACAGATTTATCGTTATATTTATCATTTATCGGTGTCTGCGCTCTCTCATGTCCATTCTCATCATAACCAGAGTAACCATCCTGATCAAAACTTAAATCATCTTTTGATGCCTCAAGGTCACTGATATTTTCATGGTCATCATCTAAAGGGTGAGAAACACTATCATAACTTGGATAGGATTGTAAATCAAATTGTCGTAACGTTGAAGAACTTCCTGCTGATTGTTTACTACCTCCAAATCCAGAGTCGGTCCAATGGGTTGAAGCGTATTTTCCTGAATCATGAATGTCGTAATCGTCTCTTAAAATGCCATCATCATCTATCAAATAATTACCAGCTGAAAAACAAAGAAAATGTCAAAACATAATATTGTACTTATTGGTCATTTTATATGTTCTTTAGAGGTATGTAATAATACGAGTAATAGGCTAATAATTGTCTACTTTAATTTTCATCCCCATTAACTATGTCAAATGTACCTTATATACTGTTTATCATAAGAAAAAACTTGGAACCAGAACAAGTGCCTATTTTTCTTCTCATAAACATAAAGTTGTCTTGACAAGAAAAACATTATTGTAGTAAATAAACTGTTTTTATGGTTTATTTACTACAATAATATAATATATGTTCCCTATTGGAATTTTGAAACAAAGAAAAACATATAGCATTGAAAATAACTATACTGAATAAAAGAAGATGTAGGGTATTCATCACTGAGACAGGATCCCAACATTGCTGTATTTTTTTTCAACTGTCTATGAACTTCAACTAAAATTTTGGACATTAAACAACTAACAATCAATCATTCAACTTTTGGCATAGGCCATCTTTAAAAATGTATCACTGTCCTAGTTCATGTATCAGAAAAAGACAATAACACTTGAGTTTCTGATAATTTCAAATCCTCTATGAACAGTTTTATTTACAATTTTTGTCAACAAGCTTCCATCCTACTTAACATTTTATACAATCTCTCAATAATACTCAAACAGACTACTAACTAGATTATCCATACTAACTTGATTATTAACAAATTCCAGTGGAAAACTTGAAGCACAATAAAATGTCAATAAGAATCACATTTCAGATGAAAGAACTGTATAAATTATAGATGTGGACAAATAGTTATAGCATTTTGTCATGTCAGATTTTCTTTTAGGTGTCAAAAACATTTCATTTCACATGCACATATATTGAAATACTACCCTAATAATAGACTGCTCATCAATAAAAAATATTAAAAATGTAAAAGACTTACAAAAAGAGAAAATAAGGATTGTAATGATGATTGAGATCCAGAAAAGCCAGTCAAGGTCAACAGATTATTGACCAGTCACTTAATAATACCTCATAGTATACAGTACAGTATATTGGGATGTAAAGTAATTAATTGATGGTCGCTTATTGATTTTTTATCCCTGAAAATGTGTGAGGTCTCTGTGTATTTTCAATTTTTGTATTCTATTACCATAATTTGAATGGTAATTAAGCAACTTGTGAGAGACAAATATGTGGAAAGAATGTTTTAAGGTGGTTCTCACATTTTTGGCATAAAAAAACACATTTGTTACGAGACTAGAATGAAGTTGGCCTTCTCGCTACAATTTTTTTTTATAAAACAACCACTCATACTGTGGATCCATTATTATTCCTGGGGTCCCAATTTTCATGGATTTCGTGAGTAATGGTAAACCACAAATTTAAATGTTCAACAAAGTAGTAATTTCATATAGGCTTTTCTTTTGCTCTGTGTTGAAGGCCTCACTGTGACTTTGAGATGAAGAACAGCAATAAAAGCACTGTTCCTTTGCTTTTTATGTGTCTTTTGCTGTGCTAACACTAATTTTGTGTCATGGATGGATACCCCATATCCTTTGTTTTCTATTGTATGCATACTTTGGCAAATCCACATATTCAAATATACAGGAATACACAACTTTTCCTCAATCCACGAAAATTGGTACCCACGAAATTAGGTACCCATGAAAATAAATGAATCCAAAGATTCAAAGTTAAATTTTACAAACAACATGGTAATTTTACACTCCTGATTTCAAGATTATTGTAGTAAAAACCTAGAGTACATGTACTGCAAGCAATTTAGCTCACAAAAAGACTGCTCCAACCCCTTTGGTAATGGAAACCCCAAAAATAGTTGAGATCAAAACAAAATAGCCACTTTAGGAGGTACACAATGGCATTATATAATGAAGATTCTAAAAGAAAGCAAGGGTTTTAATATTCAGTTTCCTCCGCAATAATTAATTTACTCTGCAAACTTTATGACAAAAGTCACAAAACTAAGAATTCATTATTATTTTCTTGAAAATGCAGTTGCTCAAAACATTTTTATTAAAATCTTAAAGATACTACAATTATCTTCTTATTCACAGAGTAAAGGATGTATGAAATTTCCAGGTGAAGTAGCCTTTGCAACACTTATTACAATATACATGTTGCTGCAAAGTAACAGAATTTTGTGAAATAACAAGCAGACCTGCCAACATTCCTTATGTATGGTGGATTTCCCACATGAATGGTATTGACCTGACTTTCAAAATTCTCATTATATAAAAACCTTATATTTCAAAATAGGCATTCAAGGAGTTTAAATGGCATTTAGGAACAAATATATGCTTCTTCAAAACTACAGTGTATTAAATTGAAAACACTTATGCCTTTATAAGAATTTTTTATTGACCAATAGTTATTGATCTAAAATATGCCTCTCAACAACTTGTCAATTTTTATAAACAATAATTTGTTTTGATTGTGCCCTATAAAATATATACACATTAATGAAAAAATTTAACCCCGCCCCAATTCTTGGAAAACATCATTCTAGAATTAAAGCAACACAACAATACAAAAGAGTTAGAGTGGAATAACTATGGACAAATGTTTACTTTTTACTCCTGAGCTAAAACAACTTACTGGATCAGGATGTAACATTAAGCAATTCTTGACAACCTAACAGCATTCTGCATCTCATATTTCAATTTTGATTCAATCTTTTTACAAGTTTTCCCATAAAAAACATTGAATTTGCTATATCTGTATAAAATGAGTCACGAAAGGGTGGAATCTACTGTTCAGGGAAAATTATAAGTGTGATATGAAACAACTTCTATTGGATAAATTAATGCTGCAGTATTTTACCCTACACAATAAACAGAAAATAGTTCTCAATGTGTCCTGAGATAACGTACATCAATCTAGGTCTCTTTCAGTATTTGTGTTTTATTTACTCCTTTGGTTTAATCAAATATTTCCATCAATATGACCTAAAATAACTCTGAAGCATCACATCCCCCCAACCCTTAATTCAAACTCAATAAATAAATTATAACAAGATGTACATACCAGAAATTTCAGTTCATCCAAAATAAATTCAATAAATCCTTAGAATAATTCACATTTTTAAATCTAATAATTTATAGAGAAAGTTGGCATTATATTTTGTAATATTACATAGGAGGCATCTAAAGTTGATAGATATTTAAATCAGAACAATAAATATACCTTGACCAAGTTTTATGTCAATAACTGTGAACCTTGGGAAGCATGCATATCAACATTTTATTTGAGGTAGCATAGCTACCTATCATACATAAGAAATCAGGGGATTTTAGTAAAATTTCAAAAGACTGTTTTGTTTAACTGTAGAACCTTCATTTAATGGAGAGAAAAAAGGAGGTAACAGAGCAACCTGAAAAACAAAACAGTTGTAATTTATACTTATCTGAAGTTATTCTTATAAAGGATTTAAAAGGAAAACGGTTGATTGATTGTTGGTTGCTTTACATCCAGTGGCAAATAGTCTATGCATGTTCAGGACCAGTTTAAAAGTGAAAAGGAAATATACTGTGAAAAGGCTTTCTTAGGTGTTTTTTTTCACATGCAAGACAAAATATATGCATTAAATAAAATTTCTAGCTTGAAACTTTAGAAGTTAATCGGAAAAACCATTTTCCTAGAATGCATAATTTCACTATAAAATAAACAAATTTCAATTTCATGTCATTTGTGGGAATCAAAATCCAATAATATGCACACCTTTGATATATGCACAAGCAGTCTGTATAACATATAAGTTTATAGGAGAAAACCAGATAAATCATGTACCCAGTGCATAATGGTGAAATACAACATCCTTTTATTTGTGGGAAATTTTAAAGATCAAATTGTGATAATATATACACCCTGAGTATATATACAAATGATCTGCATAAACTAAATGCTCTAGATTGAAATATGTAAGAGGAGTAAGCTGGAGAAACCATGGACTCTACATGCATAGTTTTACAAAATAAATGACAATTAAGTTCACCATCTTGTAATTTGAGGAAAGTGTGAAAAAATCCAAATCATGATTATATGCACAATATTAGTATATGTACAAAACTATACATGTATACAGTATAAAAATCATGACCTGAAAACAGTTGGAGGGGTTAGCGGAACAAACCATGTACCTTATGTGGGACAGGGCTAAAACAATATTTCAAGAGAAACCTAGTTCAATTTCCAATTTTTTTTGAAATAACAGTCTAGTTTCCAAAAATATTTTCTGATGAACCAAGTCAGCTCTTTCAGCCCATATTCACTTTTCCTATTTTTAAAAGATATCATTTGAGAAGTTCTCCCTAACAATGAGAAAAGGGGTGTACTTTCAGAATGAAACTGTGAAGGTACCTGAAGTCTGTTTTAAAAATACAAATGTTTAGATGAAAACTCTAGCATGGTTTGTATAGTTCTAGAATCAAAGCATACATATTTGCTTATTTACCTTAAAGAATGTACATTTAATGTCCCATTAAATTAAAATCCTGATCTTCATACTTGTCCACACATGAAAATATTTACAAATACACTACTGAGAATATTAAACATAGAAATCTTTAATTATTTCAATAACAGTTTTTGGATATTATCTTTAAATGTATTCATGTACCATTAACATAACACTCCAGATAATTGTGTCAATCCAAAATCATATTAGTTCAAATCAATCTCACCATGTAAGGTGAAAAATTCTTATATATATCTAATACATCCAAGGATGAATGGTGATAAATTTTTGATTTAACTTCTTTGTATGTACTTCTTTGTATAATGTAATATATACCTGCTTATAAGATATATTTATGATCAGTTAAGTGAATTCTAAAGTGTGCAAAGTAAACATAGATCTAGAAAAATTCTGAAAAAAGGTCATGTAATACACGTAACACTAATCTGTTCATTTAAATGTGTTAATATACTGTTAATTTCTGTTTTTAGATGCATCCACTAACAGATAAGGTTACAATGTTACTTATTCCTCCAATATGATTTACATTTTTCATAAAAAAAGGAAATTACAGCTAAAAAATAAATTCACACTAAAAATGTCTGTAAATAATTTATCAACTCCTACTAGTAGCAAAAATTCCTTAAGACTCACCTGAAGTAACTTAGGAAAATATATCCACAACAGGGATTAAAAATTCTTTATTTAAAGGATGTCTTAAGGACTTGTTGAAGTACTATCAAATATTTTGATTTTTTATTCTTCATTTATTCTCTAAAGGGTATATAAAGAAAATATTTAAATGCTAAACAAGGCTTGACTATTTTAATTTGATGAGGGCTTACTTTGGAAATAGTCTGACTGCAACCTGATTGGTTATTGACTAGAATCTCTTATCATAATTACCAAGGCTAGATCTATAATGTGTGTGTCCAAGTCAAAGAAACAAAGTTCTAATAACTTTACTGGAGGTCATACATACAATATACTGTAGTTAAAGTAGACCCCTATGACCCTTATACATGGCTAAAATAATTTAAATCAATACATTATGACATTTAATCTGTTCAAAATGCAGGCTAAAATAATGCAACAAAAGAGCTTGATATAATTACTTTTCTAGCAGTTCATAACAATATCCAGAAACTATATAATTGATAAAAAAATCTAAGAATTAGAGGTTTATAGTAATTGTATCAGTACTTTGTTAAAAGTTTTCAATAAAACAAAATCCTCAGCCTGCTGTTGACGTGGTAAACTTTCACTTAAATGATTTGTACTGTACAAAACCCCCTCAGTGAGACAACACACAAACCTATTTTCCCAAACAATTGTATGTTAAACTGGTCAGAGAAAAATAATTAAACAAAAAGCAAGAATGCAAGCCTTGGAAATCTCAGACACCCTTTAGTATATGTAAGTAAGATTCCTCACCATCTTTAGATTGATTATAGATTGGACAAGCCTTGTAAGGGACCTGAAATCCTAAAGTGTTTTTTTTTTTAGATTTCCTGGTCTTGCACTCTTCCTAAAAGTCTCTTCAACTAAATAAAATACTCTCATCAAAGTAAAGAAAACTGACGTATGATGAACACATTTTTATCTCTCTTGACTTCCCCAACTAGTACGGTACCAACACTAGAAGCTACACAATCCTGTATTCTCCCTCCACTACTCATGGAGAATATTGTCTAATGTTTAGCCGGATTTCAAAAAGAGTATAAAGCTTTTTAAATTGAAAGTGCATTCAAAAAATGCAAACCCCTTTTGAAACTAAAATTCAGAAAATATTTCTTGCAGGAGTTCCACAGAAACAGCCTATCCCTGTTAGTTTCTGTATACATGTATCTATATATCTATATATGCTTTCTGATCCTATCGTAAGAAAGATTGTCAAATTATTACTCAGTAAGTGGAATCTATATGAAAGATATAATAATCCTACCTTACCCAGAGCTGTGTCCTTTATTAATCTTCTTTTCACCAATTAAATTGAAAGTCATTTTTCATTGCAATTTTCTAATGCATTTTCAAAACCCTGACTATACATATTTGGGGTATAATTAAACTATAACGTTACGATATTAAAATACTTTACAAAAGGCAATTACATCCATTCGTCACAATCAAGCAGTTATTAAGGTAAAATGCTATACAAACAATGATTTTAATTACTTTAGTCAAAGTTAAAAGTCTGACCATAATTCTTTTACAGTTAATCTGATACAGTCAGGATCACTATTTGTAGAAACAACATGAATCATTTTAGATATACAAGTAATTATAAACAAGAGAGCACACACTGAAATGGCTTGCTAGCTTTATTGATCAGAAATGAATTTATGTATAATGGTTTTACTACAAGTATAACATACAATATCATAATCAATGATCCATGTAAATTAAGTCAAGGTTACCGGTAGAGACACCCTGTCAGACAGACATGAACACCTAACAATCATTCAATACACCAACCACAGTTAATCTATTGCTTACAGTATCTGAGAAATGGACTTTACCAAGAAACTTAAACCTTGATCAATGATCCATGAATTAGGTCAAGGTCAGGTGAACCCTGACTTATGACGTGAAGACCTTGCAAGAGTCCCATATGCCATATAGAATTATCCTATTGCTCATAATAAGCGAGGAATTCATATGACAATAAAAACCTTTTTATTTTTTTAACCAGTTGTTGAAGTTGAACCATGAAAGTGAGGTCAAGGACATTAGCCTTATGAAAGATGGAAGCTTAGTAACATAAGACATTTATATACAAGGTTTATGTATCATTGTCATTTTGCTTAGTTTCTTTTGTTACCTATTCTGACATCGGACTCGGACTTCTTTTAAACTGAGTTTTACTGTGCGTATTGCTATGTGTTTCTTTATTCTACATTGGCTAGAGGTATAGGGGGAGGGTTGAGATCTCACAAAACATGTTTAACCTGCCGCATTTTTGCGCCTGTCCCAAGTCAGGAGCCACTGACTGGCCTTTGTTAGTCTGGTATGTTTTTTAATTTTAGTTCATCAGAATCATTTATACGTTCTGGAGTTTAGTGTGACGTCCATTTTCAATGAACTAGTACACAATTTAATTAGGGGCCAGCTGAGGACCACCTCCGGGTGCGGGATTTTCTTGCTGCGTTGAAGACCCTTTGGTGGCCTTCGGCTGTTGTCTGCTCTTTGGTCGGGTTGTTGTCTCTTTGACATATTCCCCATTTCTATTCCCAATTTTATTTGAAGCATACAGGTATTCTGCCTTCTGAATTATTAAGCTTTATACAAATGGATAACACTGACACACTGCGAGACAAACATCCCCATGTCTAACATTCAGCAACTTTTGTTATAGAGAACAGACAATAAATCAATGCCAAAAATTTTGAATGATTTGACTCAAAAACTTGAAATATAATTCAACGTTAATTAAAAAGAATTTTGCTTTCTTTTTTTCAAATGTTAAAACTTATGAAATAACCTTTTGGCCTAGGACTTATAATTCTATGTAATTGTAACTGTTTGAAAAATCAAATCTTAAAACAGGAAAGAAAAGATACATGATAGAAGTAAAAACTACATGTGTAAGCTCGTTATCTATTGCCATTGTCAAACATCTAGTACTATTTTTTACTTTGTATATTAAAGGTATAAGGGAAATAAATCTTAAAATATATAGCTATTTATTGTATGTGTAACAGACAGAATCATTACTTATAAATTTAAGAAAAGTAAATTTAAAAATGTTAAAATACACATATAGTTGGTTATTGTATCATGTACCAGACAAAATTATGTTCTGCATGTATCTTATAAAATAAAAGAGATTTTTCTGCTTAAGAAGAGTGTTTTGATTTTAAACATAGTTATTACAACAGCTGCAAAAGCAGTACTGATACAAGAGAATGTTTGATGTACATTTTTGTTCTGAAGCATTTTGGGCTTTCTACAACTTTCTTCTATATTTACATTGTGTATGCATCAATATCAGATGTAACACATTATCTAACACTTAACAAATCTGAAAATGATGTAAGTCCAGTTTTAAAAGATTGAATATTTGTACTCATGATGATAAAAGCCTTGGGTTGTTGTCTCTTTGACACATTTCCCATTTCCATTCTCTATTTTATTAACTTCCACTCACCAAGACTGAGCACAAGACAAAAAAGATCTGCTGGAATTATTAGTTATAACAATACTAGTATCTATTGTTCTAAACTTACGTGAGTTAGAATCTCTCAAAATTCCATCATCATCCAACTCGAAATCTTCACTGTATTCTAACAGTGCCATATTAAGAATTGCTGTAAAATGTTAACTGCTTTAATCCATGATCTTTTCTAATTTTCTGAAAGAAAAAAATCCAATAATTAATTTTTTAGTTGCATGCAGTCATATTTAATATTTTAATCACATCAAAAGCCATTCTTTTAATTCCTAGTCATCGCTTCTGGTTACCTTCAATAGCAAAGTCACTTAATAATGTTTTGAAACTGCAATAGAAGTATTTCCTTTAGGCAATCAACATATTGTTTTTCTAACCATCGTTACAGTAATTAGGAATCCTTTAATCTTAAATAACATCACTTAATTCAATCTAATCAATAATTGTCCAAGCAAGACAACCATACCAAAATGAGAAGCAAGTGTAGAGTGCTATCTATTATCACATTTCACTTAATTTGTTATTTAATAAAATTTAGGTTGTTAGTAAATTAACTCACTTTGAATATTTTAGATATTTTACATGTATGTACACTACTATGAACATATCACTCCTACTACCATTTTGTTTAACAAACATAAGCATAGTACTGTTTGGTAAACAAATGTTTACTTATGTTACTCAATCTAAATCAATCTGACTACATACTGTATTGACTATTGTAGTAGATAAATATCTGTTAAATCCAGTGGATTAAGATCAATGTTATGATCTAGGAATAATCATTTTCATCAGATTTTTTAAATAGAAATATACATACATATCCGTCTGGGTTTCTTATAATTGTGTTGTTATATAATGTATTGGCTTTATAAAGTAAAAGATTATTTTAAAAAGTCAAGGTTTTGCACTGCTAAGTAGTAAAAATTTTATGGGACAAAAATAAAAAAATAATAAGCTATTGCTAAGTGACAGTTTAACTTATGGACACTTAAAGCTGCAAAAAATACCTAAACACTGCATTCCTCTTGATTGTACTGATATTGTGTTAATACCACGACAAAATCCCGAACAACAATCTTTGTTCTACCTTTGTATTTATACCAGTATCAATCTATTATATACATACAAATCGGAAAGACAGTCAAACTGAGTAATGTTTGAAATATAGACCAAAAATCTTACCTTAATTACCAATAATTCCTCCTGCTTTGGAAGACATTTGTGACTGTCATTTAAAATCTACAGAACACGAATAAAAGATTTGGATATATATACGTCAATGAGACAGCAACCCAACCACAAAAATAACCAAAAGACATAAGAAAGAAACATCCTCAGCAACTGACAGGTGTCCATACAATATTTTAAGCCCTAAATCATCATACTATAAAAGTTGTTATTCAATTTAAAAACTATCCAAGATCTGCAGTCGTTACAAAACAGTTCATTTTCCGTCATTAATATTTCTTAAACTTTCCCCATAAAAATAAATTAATTCTATATTGGTCGAGGTAAAGTCATTTTATTCAATTGTAGTTACCACAATAATGTCATTAAATATGAATGATTTAATTATTGTCATAATAATGGAATTGAAACTTTGTAATAAATTCAGCTTGAATAATTTTTATAAAAGCAAAAAGATGTGGTATATGATTGCCAATGAGACAACTCTCCACCAGAGAGACCAAATGACATTGATGTAAGAAACTCTCAGTCAACATCAGACTCAACATACAGCTTATACCTATTCTGACAGCACATACTCCATATAGAACTACTATCATGACTATCAATTACAACTTCAACTGAGATAGCTGTTATGTAATGTAGGTAAAACCATCCTTTTGACAGATATATTGAGAAGTTATTACCCTGTCGATGTATGAAACATCATGTTGCCATGAAGTTGATAACACAGATACTTGAAATTGTACAACTTTAAAACTTTCCCAGTATACGTTTATGATTTAACCAAACGTTTACCATGACCACTAAACCATAAAATATAGGTTAAACAAATTAAACCATCTTTTGATATATACATTTACATGTATCTTGTGTACACACATGTTGTGTAGTTCACATCAATTTATATATAAATTCAAGAGTACCGGTACATGAATATATACTTTTATACAGAAGTTTTATGTTGGTAGCAAATGTACCTTATACCTTTTTGGGGGATTGACAAACTGATGGACCCATAGAACAAATAAACTTTATAAGAACATAATCTGTAATGGGATATCCTGCATTTATCATTCTTTACCATAAAATAAGATCAAATTGCAGAAAGACCCCACTCCTACATTAACCATAGTATATCGGTGTAAATTAGATACACCCAATCAAGCCAACAACCTCATGGATGTACAATATACATGTATCTACTACATAAACATGATAAACTTTACAAGTGAGAAAAAAAACTTCATAAAGGGATAACTTAGGATGTATTAGAATTATGGTTTAACCAATAAAACAATCACTTCAGACCTTACCAATGCCTTTAAGAAGTGTCCTACAGATATATGGATGGTCATCTAAGTTTTACAACCTCTCCAATCCTTTGTATTAATCATTAGATATACCAGACATGATATGTTGGCAGGATGACAACTTCCTATAGTCATAACTCCGATATTTCATCAACGGAACTTTGTATACTAGGTATTTATTTCTTTACAAAGCACACCATTTAGTTAAAGTGTAGATATGACGACATTTAAAGCAATTTAACTTTACTGTCTTTGTCCCCATTGCAAAATTTATTAAATAGATGTTTATAATTTTATTGTACTTATTGATTGATTTAAATAAGGTGTAGATATGACTTTACCTTAATGTTAGGTTTAAATGAACAGAATATTTAAGCTTTTTGCTACAATGCAAATAAATAAATTTTCATTTCTTAAACTGTATCGCAGCAGTTAAGAACAAGGTTCTCATTAAAAAGATTCAAACTATTTTTTTGGTAAATTTGAAAAGAAGGTAAATCACATTAAGTGTATACAATTATTGACTGTTTCTACAAAGTCATGAGAGGAATAAAATAGACTAAAATATTTTCAGGATTCACTGAATTTACCAAATCAGAAGAAAATGATTTGGGCAAGCTGCATAAATATATATATAAAGCTTAAAAGATTCACACAAGTATTTAGCTTCCTGGTCTAAAGGACCAGTCTGAGTTATTGCCATCACTTGACATTTGTCCTTTATTGTCAAATCTTCTGTAAAACTACTTGGCAAATAGGAACAAATCTTAGCCACAATTGTCCTTAGGGTATCTGTTTAATAAATGTGTCCAATGATCCTGCCTACCAACCAACATGACTGCCATGACTACATAAATGAAGCCATTTCACATGGTTGGTCAAAATTTGTTGTGGATATTGAGACAATGAAAAGGGAAACAAGGGCACATTTTTTAAGTGAGCAGACAGATTCAGGGAGCAGTTTGATCAGGGCTAGACACAGTGCTCCTATATTTTTGGCTAGGGAGGACACTATAGAACATAGGGGTAAAATACAAGTATTGTGTAATATCTTGAAAACTGTGATAGATAAAACTAGAGGCTCTAAAGAGCCTGTGTCGCTCACCTTGGTCTATGTGAATATTAAACAAAGGACGCAGATGGATTCATGACAAAATTGTGTTTTGGTGATGGTGATGTGTTTGTACATCTTAATTTACTGAACATTTTTCCTGCTTACAATTATCTCTATCTATAATTAACTTGGCCCAGTAGTTTCAGAGGAGAAGATTTTTGTAAAAGATTACTAAGATTTACGAAAAAATGGTTAAAAATTGACTATAAAGGGCAATAACTCCTAAAGGGGTCAACTGACAATTTCGGTCATGTTGACTTATTTGTAGATCTTACTTTGCCGACATTTATTGTTTTTTACAGTTTATCTCTATCTATAATAATATTCAAGATAATAACCAAAAACAGCAAAATCACCTTAAAATTACCAATTCAGAGGCAGCAACCCAACAACGGGTTGTCCGATTCATCTGAAAATTTCAGGGCAGATAGATCTTGACCTGATAAACAATTTTACTTCATGTCAGATTTGCTTTAAATGCTTTGGTTTTTGAGTTAAAAGCCAAAAACTGAATTTTACCCCTATGTTCTATTTTTAGCCGTGGCGGCCATCTTGGTTGGTTGACCAGGTCACGCCATACATTTTCAAAACTAGATAACCAAATGATGATTGTGGCCAAGTTTGGTTTAATATGGCCCAGTTGTTTCAGAGGAGAAGATTTTTGTAAAAGATTACTAAGATTTACGAAAAATGGTTAAAAATTGACTATAAAAGGCAATTACTCCTAAAGGGGTCAACTGACCATTTCGGTTATATTGACTTATTTGTAAATCTTACTTTGCTGAACATTATTGCTGTTTACAGTTTATCTCTATCTATAATAATATTCAAGATAATAACCAAAAACAGCAAAATTTCCTTAAAATTACCAATTCAGGGGCAGCAACCCAATAACGGGTTGTCCGATTCATCTGAAAATTTCAGGGCAGATAGATCTTGACCTGATAAACAATTTTACTTCATGTCAGATTTGCTTTAAATGCTTTGGTTTTTGAGTTAAAAGCCAAAAACTGAATTTTACCCCTATGTTCTATTTTTAGCCGTGGCGGCCATCTTGGTTGGTTGACCAGGTCACGCCACACATTTTTAAAACTAGATAACCAAATGATGATTGTGGCCAAGTTTGGTTTAATTTGGCCACGGAGTTTCAGAGGAGAAGATTTTTGTAAAAGATTACTAAGATTTACGAAAAATTGTTAAAAATTGACTATAAAGGGCAATTACTCCTAAAGGGGTCAACTGACCATTTCAGTCATGTTGACTTATTTGTTAATCTTACTTTGCTGAACATTATTGCTGTTTACAGTTTATCTCTATCTATAATAATATTCAAGATAATAACCAAAAACAGCAAAATTTCCTTAAAATTACCAATTCAGGGGCAGCAACCCAACAACAGGTTGTTCGATTCATCTGAAAATTTCAGGGCAGATAGATCTTGACCTGATAAACAATTTTACTTCATGTCAGATTTGCTCTCAATGCTTTGGTTTTTGAGTTATAAGCCAAAAACTGCATTTTACCCCTATGTTTTATTTTTAGCCGTGGCGGCCATCTTGGTTGGT